CGAATGTTTTTAATAAGGGCTATACAAGTGTTCATACTGGGTAGTTTATTTAGTTTAAAAAAAATTATCCAACGATTTACAGACCACTCTTTCCCCATGTAAGTCAATGGGAAAAAGTGTTTCCGGGCCTGGCAACCAAAAGGAAGTGTAGTACCGCCGTTTGGCCAGCACGAATATTTTCATCAGAGTCCGGCGCACTTCCTGGGGGCTTGGTCTGCAGCGGTGCTGACTTGAGACCGGTCTCTACCTGACCGGTCTCAACGCTGTGTGTGTCCGTCAGGAAACACGCTGTTAAAAAGTAGTTCCAGCAAACATCCACTGATAAACTGCGATGTTAACAACCTCATGATAACCTCATATTTCTTTAACTTAGGATCGTACCTGTGGTTAGTCTAGAAAAAGGTAAATGTGTGCATTTTATTATAAAGTTGTGTATATTTACAGACTGTTGCAAAAACTAAGAAGCTTATAAACATCAGGTTTAAAACTAAAAGAGCTTTACAAAAAAGTAACACAATTAAAGATGTTTGGAGTTTTATTTTAGTTATTAATTTACATTTTTTGTCTAAGAGATGCTGATTTGAAACCGTTGTTACATACAGTTACGGCATTTCCTGTTTCTGCCGGAGAGAGGGGAGGCCGTCCCAAAGCTTGCCGCTGTATTTACTCCCTCCATCTGACAGGAGGGAGCCTCGTTGAGCTGCGAGTGTGGCTACAGACGGAGTTCACGTCACGTCACGTCACGGAGGGGTAGGGTCGAGAGAGTGGTTTGATTTGAAACCGTTGTTACATACAGTTACGGCATTTCCTGTTTCTGCCGGAGAGAGGGGAGGCCGTCCCAAAGCTTGCCGCTGTATTTACTCCCTCCATCTGACAGGAGGGAGCCTCGTTGAGCTGCGAGTGTGGCTACAGACGGAGTTCACGTCACGTCACGTCACGGAGGGGTAGGGTCGAGAGAGTGGTTTGGGATTGGGCCTCCGTGTGTGTAAAAAGACGATCCACAAGCAGAAATGTGAGATCCACAAGCGCATTTTTGGTCGACAAATACAAAATGGATTCACAAATGCCTGATCGAATGTTGTAAATGTTAACCCTTCTCTTGCGTTAGGTCATACCCCCCTTACCATGCTATTTTCGGTCAAAATTGACCGGTGTGTTTTGCACAGTGATATCTCTGGAACCCCTTATCCAATTTTGATGGTTGACATCTCATTTGAACAGTCAAAGCAAGTAGAATCAAGGGGTGACAGACAAAATGACACCAGGGGTGAATTTCATATTATCTTTGGCAGTAAGTTCAAAGATAGTGCTTATTTTACATTACTGTATATTATAAAAATGCTTGCCATGTAGGCTGTGTTTACTGGAGATGGAAATGCTTTAGTTAGTGTTGTAGCTGAGATTCTTCCCGTTCCAATGATGTATGGGATGTATTGAGAGTGCTGGACTTCGAATCCTTGTTTTAGAAACAGCTTCTAATATCCGTTAGCGCAGCAACAACAATGCAAATAGTGAGTTTGGTAGAAATATACTGTATAATAGTAAAGTTATTCAAGATAATGCCAAATGTATTGAAGATTTACATTATAAATATTCCCCCAAATTATTCAAAAGCATATTCTTCCAAACTCCTTGCTGTAGTATGACCACCAGGAGACTATTGATGTGTGGTGATTTTGGTAGTAATATACTGTATAATAGTGAATATTATTTAATTCTCTTTTTTCGGAGTTGCACTTTGCAGACGGTCCCTGAGCACTCGTTTCTTCTCCGGCTGCGGATAGAGACCAATGTAACGTGTCCAGCTCGGAGGACGGCGCGTATTGGCTTTTTTTTATCAAAATGTGATTGTAGTTCGTTGTCCTTACCACGGTTCTTCGGAGACGTCATTTGTGTCTGAATAACGTTTTGCTCATGAGTTATTGATCCGTGAAATCCGAATCTCCCAATATTGTTCCAACTTTACTGAACTAAGCCAGAAGACCGTCTCATTTCGTAGACCGCTCGGTTTGCTGTTCCTTCACTTTATTTTTATATTTATATACATTTATTTTGGACGAAAACTTAGCGTGAGGAAAGGCAAGTGTGGCGTGAGTGCGTGAGATATGGGTTGATTGCGTGACTCTCACGCTCAATGCGTGAGTGTTGGCAGCCCTGATATAGATGTTTTCCATCTGCAGGATGAACATAATACACTCATACCCATTCATTTCTATGGCGGTTAATTCTGACCGAAAACGTCATGGGTGTTTCACTGTTGAATAAATCACTCAAAATTCAATGCAAGTGGTGATCATCAAGTGTATATGTTCAGAGGCCTAGTGTGGAGGATAACATAAGGTATTGAGGCAATTGGATGAAAAACACAATATTTATGATTAAAACAAAAGTCATTCGGTCACTTTTGACCCGAAACGCAAGAGAAGGGTTAAAGAGATATTCAAAGATTTATTTTTTATTTGTGAAAATATTTTTTGCGCATTTGCAGATCCGTTTTCGATTTTCAAATTTATTTGTGAGTTTGCAAATCTTTTAAATGCATTTGTGGATGGTGTTTTACATTTACAAATCACATATTTACACACAAATTATTTTTCTGTTCACACAAATAATTATGAGACATATCTATGCCCATAGCCTTTGTTCCCCTTCTTGAAGACTTTCAAAATTGCATTTTTAGTTTATTTTTGTTATTTGAACTTTAAAGTATAATAAAAACAAACACTGTTACAGTACCTTAAAGACGGTGAAAAGAAAACTGCGTCAACTTCGAGTAACGGAGCGTCCACACAGCAGCGTTAAAAAAATGGTCATCACGGTCACCTTCAGAAGTGAAAGTAGGCTACCTTTCAAGAATGACTCAAAATACTCCCGTCTTTCAAAATAAAACCACCTGGAAAGCATGGGCGTCGCAGCCATTATATGAGGGTGGGACAAGTCCCCCCCACTTTTTCAAATGATTAGTTTAGACCCCCCCACTTTTACTATGCGGAAAGTCCGTGAATCGGTCTATCCACTCGCTGCACTTTGTCGAGCGCTGTGTCAGTGCTTCACTATCAAATGAAATCCATTCCACTTGCTTATTGAGAGAATGCCCAAATCAATGAAACTCCGTTCCATGTTTTCACTGCTACTTTGTACCAAGGCAGATTCTCACATAGCGCGCGCATGTTCAAGGAGTGATGTCATAGTTGGACAGCTCAGATCTGTTGTATGAAGCGATGCCGGTAGCGGAGGTAAGGCACACACACCAAATGTTCAGGAAATGGTTAATACAGCGAAAATCAAAGCTGACGATCTCTTGGTTTGATATGTTTTCTCCCCCAGACAACATGGACATAAGAACATTTTTTTCAAAGAAGAGGAAAGTAAGTCATCAGCTGGTAGCAGTTAATCAGTTAACAGTGATGGCGGTGTCTCACTTCTGGAGAGGAGTTTCGTCTTTATGTCATGATAGAGAGATACAAATACTGAATAGTTTAGATGAGAAAAGGCATCGAAATGCCAGGTTACTAGTATTTATCAGTATTTATTATCACTTCACCACCTCTCTTGACATCTAGGCACTTGAGAGTGAGTCAGAGGCAGAATACAGGGACAGTGGAGAGAGGTCCATTGCTGAGGTGAGTGATGAAAGGGAAATGACAGTTGAGAGTAAATTGTGATGTGGACTCTCATCCCAGGATTTTAAGGAAATCAGTGGGGATCTTGAACAGGAAACATTTCAGTCAAGGGGCATCATATGACCAATATAGACAGAAGAGCAACATTTATTTGAACATTTAAGTCAATGATACCATTCCTAGGTGAACTTAACATCCGTATGGAGTCAGATCAGTCTCAATATTAATAAATGCTCACAGAAGGATTCACAAATGTATTTTGCGATTTATATATAAATGACTCTCCACAACAATATCTCTCAATGCACTCACAAATATTTATTGTTGTATATAAATGTACAAAAAATGGGCATTTAAACTGCTTTTTATTAATTCAAAGACAGCTCTGAATTAATAATCAAATATGTTTCCTTTCTTTACTACTGAAATTACAAAATGTACCCATCATTTTCCTCATGCTAGTATAGCCACATACAAGTATCAAACCACCTGTTAAAATGCACCAGAATACAGGAAATCTATATATTTTTTCGCCCCCACACCCCCGTTAAAAATGTCCCCCCCACATTCAGGATGCTTCCTACGCCCATGCTGGAAAGTCATATGAGTTACTACGTGCAGCACAACGGGAGAAATAACACACAAATTGTTTTTTGTGTGTGTCATTGTTTTGTTCTGTGGTTTGCTACATTGTCTCTTAAGTGTGTGTGTGTGTGTGTGTGTGTGTGTGTGTGTGTGTGTCTTGTATCATCTTGTGGCTGTTGGGAAAAAAATACATACATATAATAAACACAACGAAAAAGTTTTAGCTCCTAATAAAATATGTGTATTATATATCAAAAAATTATAATAAAGATAATAGATTTTGTTTTTCTGAACTTATATTTAATAAAAAGTTGTTAATAGATATTAGATATGTAAATTATAGACTTACTGTAACACTACAATATGTACAGTATGTTCTGTGGTTTATTTAATGTGTCCTGATACAAAGCTTGTACATTTCCCTACTTTCTTTTTATGATCTTAAAACACACTTAGAAGACATTCACATAAATCGGTCAAAAGGACAGAGAAGCCTCTGGTTTCATTTCATCTCTTTTTGAAGTTTGACTATTAGAGATTTTAATCACACAAAATAAATGGTTTATATTTTATAATAAGCCATCAAGGTTGGTTGATTTATATGAAATTATTTTCAAACAAGTTACAAAGAATAAATGTTTCCTTTGGTGCAAAAGGTCCTGAATAAAAGTACTGATACTAAATGTTCAATCATTGTTATGAATTGAATACGTTTTTACACGTGTCGCCTTTCAGTCGGTTTGTTTGTTTATAGAGGAACCCCGTTTTCCAAATGACACAACGGACACCAGAAATGTATAAACACTTGATTTTATTCTCAACAGAATAATCCAATAAAAGCGTTTTCAGCGTAATAAAATGAAGCGCTGGGATAAAAAAGGGCTGTAATAATCAGGATGGGCTTTAAAGTGCAGGAACAAACACTGGCTGAGGAGTATGAAGTAGTGACGTTACACAAAGTGCATTCAAAAAAATATACTTCATTCATGTTTAACCAACACTGTGAGAGGGCTGCACAGAGAGAAGCACAAGATGATCATATATGACTTTCATCAGATAACTCTATTTTATTTGACTTATAAACTATTAAATATCTGCATTTCAGCAATCATGAGATATCTCAATCTTCTTCGGGCAACTGTGCTTTAAATAAAGGGCAACAAAATACTTTATTTTAAATGTATCTGCAGAAATCCGGGAATTCATTGCAAGTTTGTGTATTTCTGATCAAACTTGGAAGGAAAGGGATTTTGTAACTTATAACTGTTGTAAAAAAACATGCAGAATTACCAGATAATCAGTTTCCAATGAGCACAACATGGTTTCCATTGTGATTTAGATGTTTATAATTAACCTAAAGGGATCATGCATCTTATTAGGGCTGGGTGCAGAGGAAATTAAACAAGGAAATTATTTAAGTTGTCAATCAAAGAGGCTGAACAATGATGGAAAATAATAGATATGATCATTTTAGTGTGTGGCTGTGCAGCCCTCTCATGTACTTCATAACAAACAGCTCTACAATGGAAGACACAAACGACAACAAACACACAAAACGTTCCTCAATCTCTGCTCTAAAAAAAGCCTCAAACTAAGCAACAACTAGTGATGTAATTTCTTAGGTGAGCAGCGTATAAAAATAAACATTATGTTACAAAGTCGTGGTGGTGGAGAATGTTGTTTTCATTCGGTATCAATGACATGAAGGGAAAAAAGGCCAACAAACCCAATGATGTGCTCCGTTAAACAACTTTTAACTTGTTGATTTATGATTAGAGAAAAACGGGGAAGACACTCAGATACCAGCACATTTTAAGTATTTTATATGATTTAATCTCAGATTAATAAAGCACAGTGTTAAAAACTGATGTGCAGTCGTATATTTATAATGCAAGTGTTTATTCTGGTGTTTAGACAGATTTAAAGTGTTTGTGAATTGAAGTGTTTTGACAAAAAAATACTTATCTCAAGGTCCAGTTTTTAGCTTTGTGTCATAACACTCAGTTACAATAAAGAACACACTCTTAAATCCACAAACACATGCACAAGCTAAGGTAATCTTTCATTTACATGTGTTAGAGTTACACTTCTTGATTTTGTCATAACACCAAAAATGTGTATCGTTTTTTAAACCTAAAGAGCATCACATATTGGCATCAGGGACAATTAGGGTTAGGAAATGTCAATATAATGGTCCATTCAGCATTTCTTTGTTTTGTTTGAAGGTGACCTCTAACTTAGGAAGCCGTAGTTTGTGTCTCTCATGTGTTACCATTTTAATCTCCCAACAGGGCCACGTTTCCCTCTTATACGCTTTTATGTTGAAGCAGCAGCATTATGAAAAGTCCTCTTAACATTTTGAACACTGAGATAAACCTGCTGCATCGACTCAGTGAATCCCAACTGGAGTCCAGCACTGCATTAAGGGGCTTCAACACAAACCAACTGATGGAAACTTTACAGAGTTAATTACATCATTTGAATAAACTGAGTGGCTGCAGATAAGAAAACAGGAACAAATACAGGGTTTAATTTCGTGAAAAATCGAAGAATAATATCTTCAAAGATTTCTCGGTATTCATTTTTCAGAAATAGGGGTGTAAAGCTCTGAGTCAAATGTGGTGATAACACACAAGACGCACAAAATAGGCCAAGTTCTAGAAATATTAACATAGTAAAAGTTGATTTGGGCATTTTGTTTTGCACTGGCCTAAATTCTCTCACCACTTTCAACTACATCTTTTTTTTTAAATATGTCCTTGGAAGCAAACAAACACTCAACTAGGACTAAGAAGCTTTTGGTTGATCAAACATCCCGAGGTTGTGGCTTTGACAGCCATAAAAAAATAAAATAAAATCAGACTTGGTATAGAGCAAGGTCAAAGGGAATTACTATTTAAAAAAATGATGCGAGTACGTACACACCTCGTGTTAAAGTAGTTAACAAAATAGCTCATACAAAACTCCAATACATGAAACTATAGCGTCTGTGTGTTTATGCTTCACTAGAATCAGTGAATAGTCTCTCCTTAGACAGCGATGCCTAAAGATTTTAATCTGCAAATATATGTAGCATAGAGAAACGTAATAATATACACGTTACCTGAACTTATACGTCAATTTAAATGGAAGCAGGTCTCGTAAAGGAAAAATCCAACATTTTCATTAAAGGGTTCATGTTACGCTCATTTCCAGGTTCATATTTGTATTTAGTGTCTCTACTGCGACATGTCTCCATGCTTTAATGTTCAAAAAGCTCTTTATTTTTCTCATATCGCTGTCTGAAACGAGAGCCCAGTCTGCTCTGATTGGTCAGCTGGCCGGCTCTGTTGTCCCGCCCCTTAGCCAACCACGTACAATGTGTAAAACTTTGAGGTTTTAGCCTTCGCAGAACCATTTACATGCCAAAACCTACAGTATATATCACACTACAGGGAAACCCCAAAGAGCATAATAGGGCCTCTTTAAATTGTGGATAAATCTCTGATGTTCTTTGCTTTTCAGGAAGTTTTATCATTAAGGTTTCCTCAATATGCTTCTTTATGTTTCTGCGTCAGTTAGACAATCCTACATTTCCCATAACTCACTCTCATAACTCACCCTATCTGGTCTTTTTGGGGGGATATGGGAAACTTTGGGCTCTGAAATGCAACCCACATCACACATGGGTGCTTTTCTATCTTCGTTAAAGGGTTTTAAAAAGGTGGATTTGTCCTTTGACCTGCCTCGGACAATGCTTTGTCTGGAAGATCTGTTTAAGTTTTCAAGCTGCTGAAGGTCCTTTGAGACACTCGGTCCCTACTTGTTGCTGTTTATCTGACCTCTGTGGAAGAAGGGTCAGCAAAATCAAATAATTAAAAAAATGATCCCTTCAAGAATCTATAAAGTGTATCTTAATTTCTTCCAGGAATTAAAACCCAAAAGTCAAATGAACTGCAGCATAGAAAGTTATTATTGAAACAAACACTGTGCCTCGGAAGTTTTACTGCATCTCTGACTTTATGAAAGGTATTCATGTGTGTTATAATGTAAAAGCTTAACTGTCAGTATTTAAGGATCAGGTGGCTAAACAAAATAACTCTTAATTCTGAGAAAGTAAAAAAAAAAAAAAAACAGTTGCCAACTTAAACTAGGGAGCGTATTTCCTGCATCAGTTTGTTCCTTTTCTAAGTATGAACAGTATGCCCTGATTTATGTATTAAATCCAACTCTGAGATGTAAAATGCATCGAAGAAATAAGAATAACAATCCTCGTGTTTGTGGTAAACATGATATACAAAGTTCTGGTTATAGAGGTAATAAAGTGTTTTTCTTTTTTCATACAAACATTTCTTGCAGATTCACCACGACAAGAACTGGCATCAGGAACCGATGAGGAATCGGACGGAAAGAGCAGAATCAGAAATGGCGTTAGCAAAAATCCAAACGATACCAAAGCCCGGGGAGCCGGGGGCAAACACTTGGTTGTGAAGGGTCAGTCTGAAGGTCAGTATGAAGGTCAGTCTGAAGGTCACTGATCCCGAGCTTCATACAGCAGTTTGGCCGCCTGAGAGGGATACATAATAAAACACATGTTAAAGCAGGATGATAATAGAAAAAACCTCCACAGCTGCAGTTTGACTCAATACACAGGCAAACAATCTCAGTCTCACATTCTTTACATTTTGACCTGAAGAGGGCACCAGAGGAAAGGCAAGTTGTTACTGTTTGTTTTAGTCTCAATGTGTTTGCATTAGGAACAGCTGAGCCATGCTACCACAAACATTAGCCAATATAAAATAAAGCTTTTTTCTGCACTATTTTATGTCTTAAAGGTAGGGTAGGTAAGAATGGAGAAACCAGCTCGAGTGCGCTAGAATTTGAAAGTACGCAGCCGAAAACAATCTGCCCCTTCCTTCAGACTTCCTTACAGAGCCCCTCCTCCAACACACACGAACGCGCACATGACCAATGAGGGCACAAGATAAGTTTGTGCACAGATGGAAGGCTGACAGGTAGGTAGGCCATCCAGTTATTTTAGCCGGGCCGGCTAAAATGATTGGTCGTGCTTTTTACAGCGCCACGGCTTCCACAGATGACTTTTTTTTAATGTATTTATTGTCAAAGCATTTAATATATTCATTGCTATCGGAATGTTAAGAGCATTCCATGGAATATAACAAAAACTGTTTCTGAAGTGAATTACCTACCCCACCTTTAAGTATGTTTTTGTATGTGGATTTGTATTATTACGCTGTAGCTATTGTGCATATGACAGTAATGCCTTTGAGTATGAATTTGTAAAGTAAAGAAATTAAATCACTTTATTGTAATTAGTTTTCAAAACCAAGAAAAATACAACATTTATGCCGTATAACTAAATTAAACATATAAAGAAATATTGACCAGCCCTAGTAGTAGTCTTTAATAACGTGATGAGTCTATGCACAAAGTCAGCAGGAATATATAAGACTGATTTAAACTAAAAAATGGTTTGTTTTAGTCTTCATGCTGATGTGTTTGCATTAGGAACAGCTGAGCCATGCTACCACAAACACTAGCCGATATAAAATACAGCTTTTTTCAGCACTATTTTATGTCTTAAGTATGTTTTATGTTGCACTGTTAGAGGAGCTCGGGACTTATGCTTGTTATGATTACGCTGTAGCTATTGTGCATAGAACAGTAAAGCCTTTGAATATGAATTTGTAAAGTAAAGAAAATTACACACTTTATTGTAATGCACTCTTCAAAACCCCAAAAAGAAAACATGTATGCCGTATAACAATATTATATTATTTAAAATCAAACATATAAAGAAAGGAAGAAATATTGTCCAGCCCTAGTAGTAATTACATCTTTGATAACGTGATGAGTCTAATCACAAAGTCAGAAGGAATATAAGACTTTATTAAACAAAGAAATCTTTTTTGCATCGACAGTGTGAGTGTGTGTCCCGTGTGTGTGTTACCTTGTGCATGGCAGCGAGCCACAGCGCGGCCGCCTTCCTGTCGTCCGCAGCCTCCACCTTCAGCTGCTGTGCATCCTGGGCGCCCATCGGCTTGTAGTGGAGCAGCATGCCACTGGCCCGCGACGTCCCTCCTGCAACACACACACACACACACACACACACACACACACACACACACACACAACACACACACACACACACACCACACACACACACACACACACACACACACACACACACACACACACACACACACACACACACACACACACACAGACACACACACACACACACACACACACACACACACACACCACACACACACACACACACACACACACACACACACACACACACACACACACACACACACACACACACACACACACACACACACACACACACACACACACACACCACACACACACACACACACACACACACACACACACACACACACACACAGTAAAAAAACACAATTGATGGGATAAACTAAATACATCTATTTGTCAAAAAAAGAAAAATCTTGAGATTCTTTTGTCTTCCAAAACTATCAGACACCAATGACATTTCTTCAGACAGGATGACATTTTAAAAGAAAGTTATCTTGCCATTTTCAAGTCTGTTTTTTTTTCTTGCTTCAATCATACTTTGGGAAAGAGGTTTGACATTTTCTAACAACTGTACAAAAAAGCTGTGTCTAGCTTTTAGTGTCATTCAAAAACACACAAGTTTAGTTTCGACAAAACACAATCAAATTATAAAAAATGTCAAGATATGAGCTTAAACACTTCAATAACATATAACTATTAGTAGTGATTACTGCATGCCAAACAAACAGATTAAAAAACAAAGAGATGTCAGGGGATTCAAAACAAAATACAAATGAAATGAAGGATTAGAAATCAATGCATGAACACAACAGAAACACAACTTTCAAGATCAAATGAAGCAGCAAACAAAGAATGATGAGTCTTTGAGACACACGTGCTATTGGGCAAACAATGCACACTCCTTGGGAATAACTGGTGTGTTATTTTCCACCAAGTACATTTTTGAGGCGTAAAAATAGTACTATAGTTTTTTTAAAGCCTGCAATGAAAACTTTGATAAGCAAAATCCAACTCCAATAAAAAAAAAAAACACTCATATTTATAAAAGAAAGTTGATTTAATTGAATAAATTACTCTTTTAAACCAATAAATCCTTTTATTCAAATTGAGGATTTTGTTCAAGTAATTTTAGTTTCTTTTTTCAGAGGTGATGATGTCATGATGCAGGAAAGACAGACCTCAAGAACAGCTTTAAATACAAATAAAAAAGAAGGAAAGTACAGTCCTAGTATCTTTTATTTTAATGTCATGCAGCTTCATGCAGATATCAATGAAAAGCCAAGAGAAATTAGATCTGAAAAAACTAAAAGGAAGCATGGAGTGACGACGATGACACCGGAGTGAAGCTAACGCTAACGCTAACCTTCAGAGAGATACTGAGTGTCCGGCAGGCTGGTGTACGTGTGAATGTCGCTCTCTGAGCCCAGAAGAAGAAGAAGAAGAAGAAGCAAAAACCAGCGGAGGGGAAAGAGTTCGTTCGGGTTAGTTTGGAGAAAAAAAGTGTTAATCATTAGATTTTTCAGTTGAGTTCAAGAAAAACAATCAAGAAAAATAAAAAAAACATGACGGAGACACAATCGTTTTCAGTAATTTGTATAGAAAAAGCAGAAACCTTTTAACTTTTTCTCATAGCAAGTCCAACAGCAGTACAAAATATTAACAAACATACATGGAACATATTTATTTATATGTATCCGATTTGTATTTGTCTCACCTCCTGGACTCTCGCCGTCTGTCAGAATCTGCATGCTGGAGATCCGAGACAACTCCACCTCAAAGTGACTCTCGCCGTCCATGAACAAATACCTGGAGTTTGTTAATAAATACATTTATACTTGAAATCCACATGTGATTCTTGTTTTGTATACTTCAAGACAAATATCTGTTTACGCAAGATGTTGTTATCTTTGGCTCCTTGAATATCGCACATAAAATAAGGATTTTAAAAAGCTGACCTGTGGTTGTTGGAGAGGCGACACATCATGGTTTCAGATTTCTCCGACGTTCCCAAAGTGGCGACAAAGGAGCCGCCTGAAATCAGAGGAACAAGTTCACATGTGGTAAACTTTAAAGACGGGAACATGTAACTTCTGCAACACTGCAGTAAAATGAAGAAATCAGTTTAAATTTGATATATTTATCTTTAAACCACTAACATATTCGATATGTTATCTGACCTCTTTAACTGTGCTAAGTTCATTATGCTGTATTTTCATTGAATTGTTAGGCAGTTTTGCACAAAATACACCACATAAATAACTAAAGTTTCCCTCTCTGCTGATCTATTGATAACTCCATGATCAATAAGGCATGAGGCTGACATGCTGCAGCTCCGGGCTGCTGATGGATTTTTTATCACGAGCTGCTGCTGTGTATTTATAGCCTCTCAATAACCCACAACAACACAGTGCATTACCAGGGCAGGAGAGTGGAGGGCACTCGGCAACATATTTCAGAGAGGATTTTTATAGCATTTCTGCTTCCTGTATATGGTTGAACGGTAACAGTGTGACATGTTTCAGGTCAATGGGTCATAAAGTGAGAAAGCAAGCGGTGGAAAAAACAAAACACTAAATCACTGAGCTCTTCTCTAATGCTGTTTTTAAGTTACTTTTATTCGAGTTCACAAAAAAACCTAAACTTCAAATTCAGATTTTTTAATTCATACACATATATTTGAAACAGTGACTGAAACTTATATCCAAATGTTAACAATAATAAGCTGCTAACAGACGTTCAGGTCAGACTTTTCATTCTCCTTTTTTCTGCATAATAACAGCTGAAATGAAGAGTGGATTGATCAATGAGATGGGGAATATTTTGACTATTGATTGTCAGTTGCAACCTAAAAAGACAAAAACATTTCTAGTTTAAGCTTCTCAAAGGAGCTGATTTCTCTTTGACTTATATGACAGTTATAACTGGATGTTTTGAGTTTTTTTAAAAGATTTAAAATATGAAACTTTGGATGGAAAGTATAATATACAATTTTCCAGCGATTACTTTGATTAATACAAATATTTATTTATTTAATTCTGGTAAATAGCATGTGGTTGATTGATTTGCATTAATACCTTCAAAAAAAGTAATTTTTTTAGCGGCCTTGTCACTTTTCAAACCCTGACTGAAGGACACAGATAAAAACTAATAATCTAAGGGTGGTCTTCTCACCTCCCAGAAGCACTTTGAGCTGCTTGTCGTAGAACTCCATCTCTTTCTGCGAGGCGAGGCTGCACTGAGCGCACTGCCGCACCGGATCCACGAAGCACATCCGGGGCAGCGCCACCTTCTTACTGCAGCACTTATCACAGAAACACCGGCCGCACCGCCGGCAGTGGTGCTGCAGGGACACGAGGAGCATTTACTCACAGACATTTGGTTTAAATGTTAAGAGAATGTCTAATATACTGTGCAAGTCACATTAAACTTGACACAAAAACATAACAAAGTGTGTTAAAACAACATATTATAGTTCTGATAAGTAGCAGGTTTAACAAAATAACTACATCGTGTCTCTGCCTTTTGACTAGGATCAAGTGTATAAAATAACTCCCTGTGCTGACTTCACATTACATTTGGATGAAGCTATTATCCAGAGCGACTTGAAATAAGTTCCTTAAGTTTCATTTGGTTATTCAGTTCACTAATACATGCATTAATTAATGCGTATATCTGCATCACAAAACTTATTTCAGGAGGGAACTGAAGGTTCAATCAGATCAGATTTAGGACTTTATAAAGTTGTCCTATACAGGAATGGAAAAGGAAAAATTGAAGATTCAAATTAAATCACCTTTTAATTGTCATACAGTATATTGACATATATAATGAAAGAGTTATAAGAACAAATTAAGTACAACAAAAACAAATATTTTCCTTTCTGTAGGAGTCTGACTGACGCAGACACAGGAGTTCTGTCAGCAGAAAGTGAAGAAATATCGAAATAACTGACGCTTTCCTGAGAAAGTGTTTAGTGTCCGCCCCCTCCTGTTTAGTGCTGCACTTTTTACCAAAGGACACAGGAAGTTAAACCTCTTCAGCTGTTGAAAGACACCAAGAGAACTATAAATGTAATTTAGACTTCTTTTTTATGGTTTAGTTCAAATGCAGACAGTAATAAAGGTTGCTACAAAGGTTTAAAAAGTATCAGCAAAAGACTTACTGAACTGATTTTGCTGTAAACAGAACGTTTTTTATGGAAAATATGGTAATGGAGATGTGGAAAAAGCAGAGGCACAGATAGAGTGTTATTATGTCAGTAGTTACAGGAAAAACAGTCACCACAGAGCCCTCAGTGTGCCAAAATAAATTAACAGAAGCCAAGTGGGGGAATCAAAACCTCAGGCTTCACAGCACTTCACAAGCCTCATATTCTTATTTTCTACTTGCATGTGTATCAGATTAAGCTGTGAAAAACAAAACAGACCTTTCTTCTGATGAAGTCGAACTTGGTATCACACTGCATACATCTCGCACACTGGAAGACAGGAAAGAGGGAAAAAACAGGATGTTACACAACATGCTGAGCCATGCAGAATCAACTTTAACTGTTTTTTTAAAGATGTCTTACCATTTAGTCATCAGCAAAACAAAAAAGTATTCAACAGACATGTTGGTATTGTTGCTGTGAGATATTTAATATCTTTACCTAAACCAATAGATAGTTGCCGATTAACTTTCTGTCGATTTACTTATCATGAATCAAATAATGTTTCAAGTCTGTATTTTTCATTTACTTATTGACTTCAATAAACCCTTGCTTCTTTCTCCAGTTGTTATGGTCTAGTTCAACAAGTTGTTGCCATTATGCACGCCGAATAAGCCTTGAACGATAATAACTCGATTTAAAAACACATTTGAGACTTTTTACTTATAAAATAATCAAAATACAGGACTGTCACTCGCATAGTTTTGTTATTATTTTTGCATTGATACTTTAACGTCAATAAAGAATTATAATTCTTATTCTAAATCAATTATAACCATGCATTGCCTCTTTTGTTTATTGTTTTGTTTTTTTAAAGATTTGAATACCTGAACACATTGCTGCTGTAACAAAATGATGTATCTATCTATCCATCCATTTAAACACAGTTAATAGATTCATGTTTGGCACAACAATCAACATCAGAGAGATAATTAACTTTATTGGCTGTGGTTCAGTGTAAATCAGGTCAAAGTACCAGGGTTAACAGACAGTTGTTGTTTGTCTCTCTTAACCTTTTGCAGTAGCTTTCACTGATAGAAAGCTACTAGCTTAGCAGGAGTTACACTTTGACTAGTGGGAACACACCCGTTAGGTAACAATCGAAATACGTGTGATTTCTAACTTTAACCATTTCCGGTGATGATATAACTTCATAACTGGGGGTGAAAGCTTTTATATGACATGTAACCATCTGGTGATCTAACTGGGTGTGTTTAGCTGCCAGGATGGCTTAAAGCCCAGTCTTGGGGCCAACTGCGATGTCCAGCAGCCGTGCTAAGTTAGTTGCAGTTAGCATACAGGACACCGGATAATTGGACGATTTACCTTCAAAATAAAAGGCATAACCAAATAAATTGGATAAAAACCTGATAAAAACATTAACAAACATTATTGAACTACAATTCGGAGGTTTAGAGAGCTATAGTACAACGCATAACATAATAAGGAACCATTTATATGTTTTTATTTAAGTATTCCCTCTCATTTTAATCTTGCTTCATCGTGCTCTCGGTGGTTAGGTTTGCAAACAGAGCGTTTATTTTGAAAATCTCAACAGGAAGAGCAGTGTTTAACATCAAGCTAGCTTCTCGCAGCTCCGATAGCTTATCGCTGTCAAACAAATCCTCCCCGCCTTGCCTCACCTCTTTATCGGGGACCCACTGCGGCTCGTTCAGGGAGAAGGGGCTGTGAAAGGCTCCGTTTTCGGGCACCATGCGCAGACCGCTGGGGCTCCGGACCAGTTTCTTTCCATCAGGCAGCGCAGACATTTTTCCTGCTAGCAGCTGTTTCTCCTTCTGCCACAAACTCCTGTCTGGTACACACCCTCTGTGAATGACTGACAGGGGGTTTGACCAATGACAGCACAGAGCTGATATCACGTGGTGCGTTCGGTTCAGTGGAGTGTTTTGGTTTTTACAACGCCACCCAAAATAAATAATGAAAATAAATTAAATGGATTTAAAAGTCAACCAGGAATAAATCATAAAAATAATCAAAGGAACTTAAAAGACAAGACAAAATAAATAATAAAAATTATAAATTCAATTAAAAAAAACAGAAAGAAAATAATACATTTATTATTATTTATAATCATGTTATAGACCTGAAACAGTTTTCTTGGCTAATGCTATTTTATTAAAGTCCTTATATGTTTTTTTGTTTGTTTAATGACCGTATGTAACTACATTGTTATAATTATAGACGTTTTTATATAATACATCCCAAAAAAAAATCCTCCACCATTTGAGGCACACTAACTTTAACTTGCACACCATAATTATGTAAAAAATCACAGTAAAGCATCGTGAATTTGACTGTTTATTTAAATGCAGAGTGTGTAGTAGAATCAGTTTGCAGACAAACCTTTCCACAATTACAGAGACATTTTGAAAGTAAAAACAACTCACAGTTGATTATGTTGTTGTTATTAATCTCTAAAGACACCATAAAAGGAATACAGTTCTGTCTAAAACAATAAAAGCTTACACGTCTGTCAATTTCATCCAGGAACCTTTTCTGTACCTGCAACATATACAGAGGGGATGCTTTTGTTTCATATTTAACATGAAGGGCTGCAAAATAATTTCCTTTTACACACACAAAAAACTTTCTGCAGGACAACTTAACATTAAATCTTGTATTTATTTAATTATTGTGCCCAGTTAAATGCAGATTCAGGAGCCCTGATGTCACTGTGTGAAGCGATGCATGAGGAAGATGCAGAAAAAAGGGTTTGTTTATTTTTCTGCAGACACATAACAAAATATCTTGTAATAACCTTATTCATTCAATTGGTTTTTTGTTAATAAAACGTATATAAAACCTGAGACCTTACTGTTATCTTAACCATCCACGTCACCGCTCCACACAACAACACGGTCCACAGACAGGGAGATGAAATAACACAAATAAAACTATAAGAAGAAGAAATAAAAAATGCAAAAAAAGGACACAAGGAACAAAAAACTTTTCTTTGTTGACTGCACTTCCATAAACCCATACATTTACATTCACATCATCAGAAATAGTCTTGTGTTTTGATTCATAGTTTCTTTCACAGGGCAACAGTTTGAGCAACCTCTCTGACAAAACACTAAGCAACAGCCTCAGCTTTACTCAAACAGAGCATTATTATTAGCATGTATTATATATAGATTACAGTATATATACATACAAACAAATATTAAAAGGAACATTTCTTTTTTATTTCATCATTTTTATGTGAAATTGTAAAACACAACTTCAAAATCACTTCCAATCAGATTGTAACATTTGTCCAGTTTCAGTTTGTCATTCATCATATCATTATTAGACACTAGAAAGACACAATTAGTAATGATAAAATAAAACTATAATGTAATATAAAGTTTTATTCTTGTAGTTTTCAGGAGAAACTCTGAATCACATATATTCCATTTTTATATTTAATCATTATTTTTGCCTTTATATGCTTTCATATAAACCCACTTTGCATCTTGACCACAACTTCTAAACGTTTTATAGAAAATATAAACAATTCGTCATCACTTTGTTGCCAGTTGCTGTAAGTGTTGCCTGTCTAGATTTGCCCAAAATGTGGCCCAGTTCCTCAAAACCATCCGACGTGTTTAGGTTATGTGCCTCGTTACTTTGTGGATCCTCTGACAATAAGAAGACTGATCAACAGTCGACTAGAAGCTTCAACACCTGACTCTGTGACGTCAAACTGATCAAATCACCGTTACAAAGGAAATACAAATACACTTCATTCAGAACATTTGATTTTTAGCATTTTATAAAAATCACCGCGGCTTAGATTGAATTATTGCAGGCACAAAGGAAAAATTACCACAAATATTATTCATTTGATCAAATCCATTTCTTAGTTTTTTATTTACATTTCAGGGCTTCATTGTTGTTCTTTTAATAAGGAAAAAATAGATTTATATATAATATTTTTACTGAAAGCCTTCATTTAAATTCTTTACATTTTTATTAAAGAATGTAATATATTTAATTAAATAAATGACAAATTACAGTTTTTCCAACAATAAAACCAAAGCTTCATATAACAATTAAAGTTAATGTTATTTTCAATATTTTAAAACAAATCCCCATACTATGCACAGGTCTGTACAATTATTATGTTTGATTTTTTTTTTTATTGTGTCCCAATGTCTCCAGTTAAAATCCCTTAACAGTGATTGCGGATTTTTTTTTTTACAAAAATCTGAACTTGAAGAAGAATTTAGTCAATTCAGCCTGATGGTGTTTTTTTGGAAACCTGACCCTTTTTTAAAGATGGACAAAGTCTAAATCTGTTCAGGGTCCACATTATTTGGTTAAAGACAGAAATGTGTGTCTTGCAGATATAAAAAATAAGTATCAAAAGCTGGCAGATTACATATTTTCTTTAATTATTCCAACAGCTTTTCTGGTGTTAGGGTTTGCAGCGTTTCAGTGTCTTATAGGAAAATATATCAAATAACTTCTGCAGTTCTGCACAGTTTACAACTTCATTTATGTGATGCAGAATCAACTTTGTTATTTATTGTCATGTATATTATTAGATTATTAAATTACTTGTAGTTTTAAATAAGACTTCGCATTTCAAAGTGAATCGCTAACATACAATGATATTTATCATTAAACCATATCTATATTTATAACTATTTACAGGAGAAATACTCCCTCTTATTTTGGTAAAAGCAAATATACATGTTTTTCATTTGCATCTTAAATCTCTATTTTAACTAAATTACACAATTTCTACTTTTTGGTTGTTTTTTTTCCACTCGTTTTAAAGTGTTGTCTTGATTTAATACGAATATACTAGGAAGTAAAAATAAATGCTGTAACTTTTTCTCCGTTAAAGTGTAAAAGTGGAGAGGCTTCCACAGAGAGAGATCCTGAGAGCGTTTTTTATACAGGAAGATAGAAAGATAAACTCTTCAGAGCAGCGCGAGGACAGAAACACATAAAACATCATTTACAAAAATAAACCCAAATGTAAACGTAGACCTTCATACAGCAAAAGCAAAATCTTCAATCAGCGCAGGACGGAACATTTTAGGAGTCACTGTTCTAAAGAGTTGAGTTTTTCCTCCACAGGACTCCAACATTTGTGAAACATATTTAAGAGAACACATAGCCTTTGCAGACCATTGACATGCACAATAACCTACAGTATATAACACACTACAGGAAAAGGAAAACCCCAAAAGGCATAATAGGGCCTCTTTAATTAACCCAGTTCAGAACTTCATTTAGAAATCTGCAGATTGTAGTTTAGCGCTAAACTAACGCAGCGCTAAGCTAACGTCCGGTTCAGCCTACAGAGAGAGACGTCATTGCTGGACTTTCTCTGCAGAGTGGCTGCAGCTTTACCAATTAAAAACATTGTTTTGTATCTCATTGCTTGAGTTAAATCTCAGTAGGTGAAGTCATATAAAGTATTTAATATTTAAAAGTTAATAACAAAGTTTCCTTAAATTATGTATTTCCTGATTCCCTCATGAGCTCATTAGTGATCATTTGATATCACTTTCTGAAAACTGTGATATCTAAAGCTTTGCTTGACAAAATTCATTCAACTTGATGAAGGTTTACAGACTGAAACCTCTTCAATCAATGAACTACAGTGAACTACAGGATGTTAGAGTTCTTTCTGAGTTTTCGGCATATCCACTCTTTTAGGGGGAAATTAAAAAAGCACAAAAACAACAGCATGTGGAAGACACACGTAATGATAATTCAACAAAATATCAAGTGAATTTGACCCTTTATAGCATGGTTTGTTTAGGATTTAGGCTTCAGAGGTCGCAAAGCTAGTTCACCCACTTTGATTTAACTCGGACAATGAGCTGTCAGAGAAATGTTTAACACTAAAGCTCCACTCTGCATCTGCCTTCATGTAAGCAAAAGCATTACATATTGAAAAAGGACAATCACTCATACTAACACACATACAAATATCACACACACACACACACACACACACACACACACACACACACACACACACACACACACACACACACACACACACACACACACACACACACACACACACACACACACACACACACACACACACACACACACACACACACACACACACACACACACACACACACACACACACACACACACACACACACACACACACACACACACACACACACACACACACACAACTGTATCTTCATCTTCTTCTTGTTCCTCGATGTGTAAAACCCCACACACCTTCAGAAAGTGCAAAGCAGCCTGTACAGTGAGCACATGTGATGCTGAAGGATAATGAAGGGGGGGGGGGGGGGGGTTTACAGTGAGGAGGGGCCGGACAGGAAGTGACCTCACAGGCTCCTCGGGGGTCGACAGACCTTCAATGCGCCAGGTCCGTGTGGCTGGCACTCAGGTCACGACTTTTACTCAGACGATTATTTCGTTCCTGGAGAAAAAAGGAAACGTTTGATTAAACCATGTGTGCTCTTATTCAGAAAATTCAAAAAACATTTCCTTCTTTATTTTTTTATTATTTAAATCCCCAAATCTATCAAAGTATTTCGCTAAGAAAGGTTTTCTTATCACACTATGGGACTACAGTTCTAGATATTCAATTACAATCGAGTTCAAAGCAGTATTCCCATGTACCAAAAGACCACATATAGTGTGATATAAAAGATTTATCTTAATATTGAATTCTAACTCATATTTATTTAGACGAAAACACTCAACGAACATGGCTTTTTTTTTTTTTTTACAAATTATAGACAAACTATTCAAAGCTTTAGACAGAAATATGACTCAAAGATGTCTTAGATAAAGGAAATGTTTACTTAATGTAAAAATAAAAGGTTGTAATTTTCTTCTCCAACAGTATGAGGGTGGATTAGATCATGATTTTGATGTGCCTCAGTATACATTATCCCATCAAATCACACTGTCGCTTTCTTCAAGATAACAAAATAAAAACCCTGTTATTAATTTGTGTTGATTAGTGAACATCAACATGGTATGAAGTTAGTGTGTGAGTCTCACTCAGGTGGTTATTTATTACGTGATTTCCCCACCAAACAGATTCCCAGGTGACTTTACAGGCCTGTGTGTTTATATATATAATAACAAAATGAGATGAAAGAAAAGATCAGGTCAGAAAGCATCTGCAAAAAGTTTGTTTTAAACTTCTTGGTAAACCAGGTGAGCTGAAGGTTCAAAATAATAATAATTAAGTATATCTAATCTAAATGTAATCTAATGATATTGTTTTTAATTGAAGACACTTAATAAATTATTGTCTGATTTCCTGCATATATGAAGAGCAAATAAAGCTCTATAAACATGTTGGTGTTACTGTAAGCCTATAATAACAAAACATATCCCGCACATTTAAATGTATATTGTAAATGTAACTCATGTCATTTTGTTATTTCTATCAATACGATTATACACGTTTATTCTTATTTTATTTGTTCTTATTTATTTTAATCCCCATGTGTACCATCTATGTTTCTCTCTTATTCTGTTGTTGCTGTAACACCTGAATCTCCCTACGGGGGTCAAAAAAGGTCCATCTTATCTTATCTTATATTAAAGGAGGTAGTTATCCTTAAATATAAGAACAGTGGGACCTTTATAGAAACTGAACTTTGACCTTTCCTTATCGGTCACCAGCAGGTTATAAACAAACTCTCAGATACTTGGGACCCTCGTCTCCTTACTTGGTAGTGGTCGATGGCAGCTCTGTCCGCCACGTTAAGAACGCCCAGAGAGCTCGCCCGCTTCATGCTGCACCAGCAGGGACATGCACCGGTGGGGGGGGGGGGGGGGGGAGGTGGAAGAGAGTGAAGGTTGAGGGGTGATGTAGAGGTGAGGAGGTGAAAGGGCGAGGAGGTGGAGAGTGAAGGGTGAGAGGTTGAGAGGGATGTGGAGGTGAGGATGTTTGTGTTGGTTAATAACATACATGATATTTCCACACAGATGTTAGTATCACAGAGAAATGCTTCTCACTGTCTGCCTCCACAACACATGACAGCTAACTGATCTTGGTTTGAGTTACAGAGACACTCTGAATTAGACTACTTTATTTTTATGATTTATTAAACAGATAAAAATAGTACATGTTCAGATTTGAGAGGCTGAACAGCTCTCTTTCTTCGCATGAAAACGACTGTGTTGTTGTTTCCTCTGTGGGTAAACTAAAGATTAGTGGTATATTAAGAAGTGAGAAGAAAGTGACCCTATAGACGTAATGGCTTGAATTGAATGCATTGTAAGTCAAAAGTAAACCATTATGTAAGGTTTCTTATCAGAAGGTGGTACCAGCCCTTTTATTTGAGTTATCCACGAGAGGTGTTTTTATTGATAAGCAGTTAACTCATATTTATATGTCAGTGAAGATCATGCACACCAACATGCCCCAAAAAAATGATGTGAATAAAATCACTGCAGAAACGCAACCTAAATTATTAATAATAATAATAATAATAATAATATGCGTATAATTCTTTTGACTCAAATTCAAGATTAAATACATGTTTTTTTCCGGATGTTTTGCAGGTTATAACCCACTCCCTTAGCTTGGAGGATAGCTTATGGTTTGTAGGACACGCCTGATTGGATGTATTTTACATGTTTTGCATCTAAAACTGGCCCCATTTTCTTGGCAGGAAGTCGCAACTCTTCCCAATTTTATGGAAAACTCTTAGGAATACCTAAAGCCTTGTTCTGTGAGTCACAACCAGGTAACTGAAGCACTTTGTGTGTTGTTCATCATCCCTTTGGCCTTTTCTCCCTAACTGTCAAATAAAAATAAAAAGCGCTCAAGACAGTGTTTTAGCTATTTTAGGAGGTGGTTTCTTGTCGACTTGTTAAAATGAAAGTTTCTGCAGTGATTGAACATCACAAATCGGTCGATGATGATGATGATGATAATTGCAGCCACATCACCATGTCCACCATCTTTAGAGCCACAGAGAAGAGCAGAGAGGAAACAGAGACCAGGGAGCACACAGACGAGGCATGCAACTCCAAACATTCAAATGAACACATTTATTCATAAATAAAAATTCAATAACAAAAAAAAACAGCCATGCAGACAGGTTGGTTTTTGGGGAATTCACAAAGAAAATAATAAAATCCAGAGACTAAAACGGAACTATATTTCAAAACAAATTGAAATAAATAGTCCCAAAGCCACACAATGCAATAAATAGGTGTAACTATTAGTGGTTAAAACAAAATAAACGAGTTCCACAGGCATAACGAGCATTAAGGCGTTTCACAAGCAGACTTTAGTTTGTTTCCGTTGCAGTTTCTACACGTCGCCCGTCACAGAAAGAGAGTTTGAAACAGTTGCATAATATTCCCATTTCATCAGTACACTTCTGCACACCGCTCAGTTAGTTTCCTTTGGACACTTTAATCATGCTCAGGTTTGATCACACGGGGGAATATTAGGACCACTGTAAGGAACATTTAAATTCAAAATTACTTAAAGGATTAAGTAATAATTTGAAGAAGAACTATGATAAATGAAAATATTGTTTTTGGAAAAAAAGTCAACAATTAACAAGAATAGGTCGATTTTTTTATCAGAAAAAAGCTGTAATCTTTTTAATTGTAGCAAAGACACCATTTTCTTGAAATATAAAACATTTTACCACTTTTTCTTAAAAAATTACAACTATTTAACAACTTTTTTCTAAATATAATTTTTTTCTTAAAAATCCAACCACTATTTATATACAATTTATGGCAACTCATATCTAAAAATATAATGACTTTTTCTTGAATTCTTACAAACTTTGATCTTAAAGTTTTGCAACTCTAATCTGTGTACCCATAACTTTTATTAAATACTAAAAAAGAATACTTAATATTCTGAGAAAAAATACGTAACATTTTTAAGTGTTTTCATGTAATATTATAGGAACCTTTTCTCTAAATATTGCACTTATGACTCTTTTCTTTACAGTAAATAACATTGTTATATTTTGTCTGTTTATTCCGAAACTAACAATACTTTTTACAGTTTTTCTGAAAGTTTTTTTTAACAGTGGTCCTTATATTTAATAACAGCTAGACCAAACCATGCAGAATAAAGTCACTGTCCAGAGGCAGTGGAGAACAGAGTGAACCGATGTGAGGGGAAAGGCCCAGTGTGAGTGTCAGTGAAAGCTCCCTCCATCATTTCATGTGCAAACAGCTTAAAAGTTACTTCACCGCCAGCAAAGCACAGCGAATCCCTTCTTTTTTTGGTTAGTGCCGGCTCCTTCCTCCAGTGCATAAAGTGAGAGTCACCAGGTGCATGATGGGGATAGTTACCCAGGGTTTTTGGGCTCGCTGTCTCGGGACGAGCCGCCGCCTTTCAGCTTGCGGACGAGTTTCTCGCTGCTGCGGCGGATCGACGCTCGCAGTTTACTGAAGGAGCCGCTCCTCTTCAGAGAGCCGGAGCCGTCCTGAGGGGAGAGGGCGCAGCGTTACACTCGGTCACAGTAACACACACACATTCTTTATTTTTTAAAAGAGTGCTTTTACACACCCACACAGTCAGTGTTCGTCCTGTGTGAACATTAGTGTCAGACCCATGTGACCCACAAAAAAAAAGATTAAAAAAGGGTATCTTTTAGTCTAAATAATTTAAAATGCTATATATGTAGGCTAAAACACCAAAGCACATTGAGTGTTAATATAAGTTTTCCTTGGGCCATAACATTTACATTTGGATGTCTCTTTCAAGTTTTAGGTTTTACTTGCAGATTTAAACAAAAGGGTTTATGGGTCAAACGCAAATATTGATCATTAAAGGGGCACGATCTTTTCAATGCAAAAGACCACGTGCCTTCACGATGCAGTGATGCAGATTCATTGTAAACCTGTGAAGTTGCCATGCGCATTGTACTTCCAAACTGCACACTAATGCTGCACACAGATGAACTATTTATTGCGCTGCTATTTGTTAGTGTTTCACCTTCAGCTAACGGTACATGGAGTCCTTCTTGACGGGTGAGGTTAAGCTCACTACCACCTTTACATACTTTTAAGTACCTGGATCAGTCTTTTGAAAAAGTGTTGCCCCTTGTGAATTCAACATAACCAGGACTGATGACCTATTAAGGCTGCATGGCAACTCCATCTTTAACACTCAGAACTGGGTTTAACAGGATTCTTTAGTTCATGTAAAATGACCTGGGACATGATCCATTAGAGTCAATTCCAGCCTCAATGGATGTAATCAAAGCACCAGTGTTTCTGGCAGAGTAATGTTGGTTTGAGTGAAAGAAGGTGAAGCCGATAATGAAGCTGAGCATGCTGGGTACTGACTAAATACTGTAAAAACAAAAAGCTAATATTGGCTGATAGTATCAATATTGGTAAATAATTAACTGTAAATCAGAAACTGTGGCTCTTTTGATCAAAGAGCAAAGTTAACTCAAACAGTGAAAGTGTCTTCATGAGCGGGGTCTCTGCTACTTAATAATCATAATTAAATCCTGTTTTATGTAATCTAATCAACCAATTTGTTCATAGTCATTTAGCGGCACTGAATGAATGTAATGACATCTGGAATCAACCATGGAATGGCAAACGTGTATCTATGAGCACATTTCAGATCACTTTTTGAAGATCAAAAAGGATGTGGTGATGCAGAGATCACACAGTGTTTAATAGCCAAAGTTAGGTGTGTTAGTGTGAAGTGTTTACAAAATGCTTTGAGTCAAGTTTCCAGATCTGCAGCTGAGGTTATTATTATTATTAGATATGAAGGCACACACACAGAAAAGAGAGGGGACACACAAAGAGGCGACAGGCACAGGTTTCAGGTGAGCAAAGAGTTTAGATTTTATTAGAAGTTAAGAAAGACAAACTGTAAGATGCACACAGGACAGGAAGGACACGCAGAAAGGTTATTAGCCAGAGCAAAGAAACAGAGACAAGAAGACTATTTTATTTCCCAGATTTCAAACAAATGCAATATTAGTGCGCCCACGCTGATATGTATTTACAGAGATATACAGAAGGTAACAGGCGCGATGCACTATGTTCAGGACAAAAGCTTCATTTCATTTCCCTACAAACTGACATTAAGTGGGAAATGTCACATTTATCAGATAACCTCTATTCTATTGAAGTTAATCAGATCGTGCATGAATCCTATCCCTTTTAACGTGTCCTCTTGTTAAGTTTTCAACGTTAGTTTATTCTGATTTCATTGTGAACAGATGACACGCAGCAGAGACTAAAGACTAAACTCTAACAGAGCCACAATCCACGGTGCTTCTTCTCGATCATGCTGACGAGAAACGCTGATGTTATTTACAGCATGTTAAGAGTCACACTGAGCTGTGAGTCACCACTAATGAAGGTTAGGTGTAAATGCTGAGTTAAACTGAGAGACTTCACGGATAGAAAGAGAAAGAGAAAGAGAAAGAGAAAGAGAAAGAGAAAGAGAAAGAGAGAGAGAGAGAAGTTAGTGTTCAAAGTATAACTCTGACCATTTCAAACCTGGAATAAAGGTTGTATTTGTTTAGAGTGACATAAAGAGGATGTTGCCGTTAACATGGTGTGAAGTTTATACTATCCATTCCTTATTTTAGTGATATACGTTCTCCCATTTTGTTGTTGTATTAATCAATGTATTGTTTTTATCTTAATAAAGACAGAAACAACTGATAGATTTCAGAGGCAAATCCTCGCATTTCAGAGATTAAACACATTTTTGGCAGTTTTTGACAACTGACTGATATGATTCGTCACTTCTGTGTCCATTGACTAATGAAGTTCTATATTACTTTCATTTTTCACATCACTCTAGCAGATGCTCAGGAGGTCACTAATGATATGATGAAGCAATGGCTAAGACACAGTAAATACACATAAAAGGTTACTATATTATATGTTGAAATATATACACACTTGTGGTGCTTTGGTATCAGATGTTGCCTCATTGTTTAAAGCTCCAAGTAATCAAATAACATAGCAATTGTTGTTTGGGTGTTCAGGTGAAACATGGAGAGAGTTGGGCTTTAAAAGAACAAGGTAGCAGGCAGAGATTTGGTTTAAGGGCGTACTGTTGATCTCCTTTACACATTCACCCCAAACAGCCTATCTATGAGTCTACTGCCAATGTGAACGTTTAAAGACAGCAGAGAGGGACAGAAAGAGAGGAAGCAGAGATAAAGGACAGCAGGAACAACATGAGAAGAGTTTAGTGTTGATATAAAGAAACATCCCCCCGGTCTCTTCCCCCCCCACAGCAGAAACACACAGTCCAATACAACGCTTCAAGACAGATACGGAAGCACAACGTTGGATTTAGACACACAAGCTGCCTCACATTTCCCACAAAACCCAGCACAAAGAGGGGTTTATTAACATTATAGCTCCGGTTAGTGAAGGATCCCCGTCAAGACACCCAGAGGTGGGGGAGGAGAATAAGATAGAGAGATGGGGGGGGGGGGGGAGGGGAGTCAGAGCTGAAGAAAACGGCAAAGCTGAAGCGTGGAGGCGAGGCGTCCGTCATGCAGAAGACAAGTTTATTCAGAACCATTACAAGGCATCTGGAGTTATGCCTGCCGGTCACACGGAGCAGGAAGAGAGAGAAACACACAGAGAGAAATAAAAGAGATGAGAGAAAGTTTGTAAAGGAGGAATTTAGTGAGTGAGAAGGAGGAAGAGAAGGGGAAGAGAAACAGATTAGAGAGACTGATAAAGTTATCGAGGTCACAGATCAGACACAGTGTTTCTCCACCAGCGTGTGCGAACGAGCAGATTTCAGTATTTAGTTTCTCTGAGGCCATTTTCCACAGTCCGGTCCAAACTGCCTCTGGTCTCACCCACTGACTCGTTAAACTCAGAAAAAACAAAACAAACCATTTTTTTCTTTTTCCCCAATAATTGACTTGCCAAGGTACAATCAAAGCAGATGGGTTTTCAGTTATCGACCATGCCCATCTACTCTGGTTCTTGTCATTAGGCTGGTTTATATAACACAATTCTAATATTTAAATACAATATAATACTATAAAACGTCTTTCTGTTGTTCATTCTGCTTAGAGCAGGGGTGTCAAACTCAAGGCCCGCGGACCATTTCCGGCACGCAACCTTATTTTTTGTGGCCCGCAAGAGCTTGCAAAGAATATAATACATTTATTATATGATTACATGCCGCTTTACAGAAGCACGTTGGCCATAAACTACATGTCCCACAATGCATCTCATTTTGTGACATGCGCCCTGAAGAGACTTGAAATTATTTGCCCTAGACTTCTGCTTTCAGATGTAGTTCATTATGAAGTTATTACCCTATCCAATAATAATCCAATGCAGAGGCAATAATGTAATATAAATACATTATTTTATATATATTTATATATGTATATATATTTATATAGTCTTAAAGTTACAACCGGCCCTTTGAGTGCAACCATAATGCTAATGTGGCCCCAATGAAATTGAGTTTGACACCCCTGGCTAGAGTTACTGTGTTGTGATTCACAGAGTTTCCACCAGGTGGCGCTCTAGCACAGTGTACTATGGTGGAGGGATACTGTGTCTGTATCTGAAACATTGTTGAGCACAACTTACATCAACAAGAACAGATTACACTCTGTAAGAGCACCACAAAACAAAACCAAACACAGAGGGGATGCCGGGAGGAGAAGGATGAGAGCAGCCAGACGAATACTCTCTATATGATATTCTTTTATGATCTGTTTCTTGTATGGGGCTACATAGGAACAAAGTACAATACTGACCGTTTAGACTTAAAATATCAAGTACTATTTCAGAGTTTCCTAAAACCCTAATATATCCAACACAATTTTACATAGAAATTTAAAGGAAAATGCAAAATATACACACCTGTAAAGCTAAAAACTGAGTAATATTTATACATTTGATTTATTTTGTATCTACAAATGAATGAATTAACTATTTTTAGCTCTGGATTTAAGTTTATTCAATTGTTGCAGCATTGTGCATTTGATTAAATACACATGTATTCCTCTCTGGCTGCCAACATGCAAAGCAAAGGAAAGACACAAAGATAACCAAATAAATCACACTTCTCATTCTCAGGCAGCGGGTCGTCACACAGATGCAAAGGAGAGGTTCATCAACACATAAACACACAGGTACAAACATCACAGTGGACACGGATATCACAGAAAGAGTACAGTACAGAGCCCGTGTTGAGTCAGGTGAACACACTGAAGAGTCACGCTGCTTCTCAGAGGAATTATTTATAATAAAGTGAAAGAAAACGCCTGTGGAGAGAGCTGGAGTGGAAGTGAAAATATATTCGAAAGCTTGGAAGAAAAACATGTGGTTTGACAGCTACAGTGAAGAGGGTTAAAATAACATAATACTATGTTTATATCCATCTCAGGTAGATCATAATAACTGTTCTTACCAATCACTTATAACATAATCTGAATCATTACAACTGCAGAGGTACAATATGTGATTAGGCTTTTTCCTAAACTATCAAATGCAGCCCTTGAATTACATTTAGTGTGAGTTGTGGAGAAGTTGTAGAATTGTCAATAATTTTGCCTATTATTTTTTGGTCATGTAATATTGACCAATTGTATGAGAAGTTATACATTAAGAGGTTGCAAAAAGGTTAGTATTGTATTTTTTTGTGCATTTTACATTATTTACTAACTTATTATTAAACTTCCAGCTGCAGCTCTTCCAGGTTCGACAGGCTGCTTCCTGATATAAATAGGTCCAGAGATCAGCTGCTGATGTGAGATTGTCTGCAGGAGGCTGGAGGATAATAACTAGCTGACAGTGTGTATGAGGGGCGATGCTGATTGGTTGTTCAGGGCGCTATGACTACTGTTGCTAAGTGAGCAGCCGCAGAAGAAAGATGGAGAGCAGCCTGCAGAGATTCTACATCTACAGTTTCTTATTGCAGTCACTAGAAGCTGAGAAAATACTGCAGAGAAACGTTCGGAAAGTGGCTCTGCAGCAGCAGCAGAGGGGTTAACATGTGAAACCACAGCGGCTTTACGGCTGGGAGAGCAGCTTTTACAGAGAGTTAGTTGGAAAAGCTTTAGAAAGAGAGAGTTTAGTGGTTTACTATGATCAAAGCACTATGTAAATGTAAACACACTACAACTGAAGCACCTACTGTGAGAGACTTAACATCCAGCCAAGAAAAGCTTTTCTTTTATTAATCAAAGTGTAACAGTGAAGCTCAAGCAACAGCTACTGCGGGAGAGGATTCTGACAGTCAATCAGCAAACTACGTGTAGCAGAGTACAGAAATAATCTTAACTATCCTTTTTACATGTTTCTCATTTAAATAACTGTTATCATCAGAGTTAAATAACCTCATAGTATCTTTCTTGACAGAAACCACTGGAAACCTGATTATCATTTACATTTGTTATCTTATAATGACGACAACACGTCTACTGTACACACCCCAGCACTAGTACATAGTATCTAAGTACAGCAGTTGATGCTCCAGATTTAAAAATAATGGACATCTCTCTGTAGCAACAGTATATACACTGTGTGTCTCATACATCTATTTCAACAGGATGTTTATCCAGCGTGATCAGTTAGCATGTGGCTTCTGTCCAGAAAGGAACTGTGTATGTGTGCAGACTCTCAGATGTGTGTGTAGGGCTGTGTACTGTACTTACCCCGTTCCACTCCACGCTCATACTCACTTCCTCGCCACCGTCCGGCCCGCTCTCGTACTTCACCGTGTCGGAGGTCAAGCTCTCGCGGCTCCGCTGCTTCTCGCGGGCCTCGGGCTCGCTCAGGACCTCCGCCACGCGCTGCTTATGCACGGTGTCCAGACCCTGAGCAACACACACACATACACACACCAGGATACACAAAACAGCAATTAATGTCAATGTAATTATTGCAGTTAAAGCAGAAGCTGGAACACCGCGGACACACACACACACACACACACACACACACACACACACACACACACACACACACACACACACACACACACACACACACACACACACCACACTACACACACACACACACACACACACACACACACACACACACACACACACACACACACACACACACACACACACACACACACACACACACACACACACACACACACACACACACACACACCACACACACACACACACACACACACACACACACACAACACACACACACACACACACACACACACACACAACACACACACACATAATATTAAAGCTTTAGACTTCTACCACCTGCTGCACTGAACCCAGGCTCTGGCACACACTCACATTTTATATTAAGACACCAGCTGGTACGAACTAATTCAGCAAAGTCAGTTACCAAAGCACAACTGGTTTCTCAAAAGGAAACTGTTAAGCAGCAAACAGAAAGCTGTTCCTGAGAATCAGAGCTGCCACCACTAATATGTATTCAGAATCAGAATCAGAAACAGGTTTATTACCAGGTAGGCTTACTGTACACGTACGAGGAATTTGATTACACCATTAAGAGCAAATAGGAGTACTCGATAGAAGTCATTATGCTTCTTAATATTTGTCGAAGACGTGTTGTAATTTCACTATGTCATGTTTACAGAGTACACTTTCCCTCTTCAGCAGATTCATGAGAAAACGGCTTCCTAGTGTTAAACTCTGCAGAGTCAAGTAGAGGGGGGGCTTAAAGTTTTAATTTGAAGAATGTGCATTTAATAGCTAATTCAGTAGGATTTCTCCCAAGGAACAATTTCTGTAAGGGAATTAGCTTTTTTTTATATAGTTAAAGCTAAACAATTATCGTGTTTCCCCAGAGTGCGGACGAATGCAAAGACTTCTCCGTCTGAGGAATAAATGATTCATGGTGGAAAAACACCAGAGCAGTGACGGTGTCTGAATGTAAGTGCTTGTTACTTTACCTTTATTTACATTTACATAATGCGAATTTTTAATCTGTACTGAATATTTAAAATGCAATACATTTGTTGGACATGAATTATTTAAAATGTAAAAATTACTTCAGGCGCCTTCCTCTCACAAAGTGCATTAATATTTGAAAAGCTGATTCAACACCATGATCACCGTTCTCTATTACATGGTTAACATCTTTCCTGTTAACTAAATGACACAAAAAATGAAAAAGAACCAAAACATTTTAGAGAAATTGTCAAATCAAAATATTGATTTAAATTAATGTAATCGGACTCTAAACAGGTATAAATAATCGTATTACCAAAGCTTCACTCTCTCCAGCTAGAGAGGCACTAAATGAATCCAGTAATGTAACTATCATGTACTACTGCCCAACTGAGAGATGAGGATAATTACATTCTCAGAGAAAATGCAAATTCAGGATAAAACCACTTTTTATCTCCACATGAAACCCAATAAAGGCTCAAAAGTAGCCCACCATGAGAGGAGGTGAAAAACTGCCGGGTTCTCAGCGTCTCAGTTTATTATCTCATCCCTATTTTTCACTTTATTAAACATTATCTGCCTTTTTTATCTGCTATTAATTCTGAGCCGACCCTTTTTATTGAAACTCTGCAGCTTTAACACTGACAGTGACGTGTTAACTGCAGCCAGGAGTCCTGCGTTATTAGTCATGGAGACCACACCTGCTTTCTGGAGCGCATGGCAGCTTCCTCCAGGGTCTCGGCCGCCTCGAACTTGCCCTGCCGCCTGTAGAGGGCGCCCAGGTTCTTCAGGGTGGTCGTCACTGTGGGGCTGCAAAACAAGGAGGAGGAACATCTTAGCAGAGAGAATATAAAAGGTGAAGCAGGCTTTTTTTTATATTAAAGAGGACCTATCATGCAAAATGCACCTTTTGATGTCTTTTATACATAAATATGTGTCTTCGGTGTGTCAGGGAACTCACGCAGCGTCAGAAAATAAAACCCTTTCTCTTTTCCTCCGTACCCACATCTTTTAAAAACGGGGGTACAACGGTACAATACAGATTTGCTGCCGATATTACGTCATTTCGGATGGCGGACCCACAGAAAGATGTTATCAGAAACAATGCCTGACGTGTTTTGGACGTAATCTCGTCTTTGTTTACATTAGCAAGCATCGCTAACACTCAGAGCTAACCTGTACTGGAGAGCACATGTGTTTAAAAAGCAGGAAATATAAAAAAGAACTAACCTTGTGATAAACCCGCAAGAAAAAAGCATTTGAGCTCCATACTGTATCAGAAATAATCCTTGATGTGGTTTAGAACAGGATGGCGTTTTATCACAGCAGAATTTAACTTTATCTCCGGTAGAATTCTGATCAGGCATTAGCTCCGCCTCCCCTTTTTTTTTTTTTTTTTACCTAAGGACCCGCGTTTCTTTAACAGGGGAGGTATGAGCAGTATGAGGCATGGCTACAATGGGTGATCTGTTTGGTATTTTAAGCAAAAAACATCACAGACATGTTTTGTATAGGTATGGCCCTACAATATATTTTTCCAATATAGCATGATAGGTCCACTTTAACTCGACAAAAACACCAATTAATAGCTAATTAAGCTGTAATTTCTTTGGATAGAAGAGCAAAACAATGACACACAGGGTAAGGTCTTTCTCTAAATGAACTAAAATATGTCTGTTTTGTAATAAAAATCAGCTTAATATGATTTTATATCAGAGTTCGATCCCAGATCAGCAGAATCGATCTGAGTGGGTCAGGTGATGAACAAAAAGGGCTGAAGGGTTTACTTTGCTATTTCTATATCGAATTCCTGGATGATTTTACTGCAGTTGGGAGGATTTTCTGGTTTTGCTGGTCCTGTCTGGTGAATGAGCTGAAACCGGTTTCATTTTATATAAACCGGCTGAACAAGCATTTCTCATTATGACACGTAAATTCATTTTGTGGCCATTGCAGTATGAGAATTAAAGCTTTAATCCTTTATTTTTATCTTTTTCTAAGGGAACATTAGAAGACATTTTGTTTTGTTTCCCACTCATCTTCACTCAGACACTGAATTAATTAGAAACACTGACCTGTCCACTTTGCAGGCTTTGTACCAGCCTCCGTACTCCCCAAAAGGTGAGCCGTCCTTCTGCTTGCCCTAAGACAGAAAAACCATGTTCATAAGCTTTCTACAAAACTGTTTTAAGGGAATCTACATCTACTAACCCGAACATTTAACATCAGGAAAAGAACCACAGACTTGTGAACTAAAACATGAAGGGAATTGAATATTAAAAGGATGAAAATCAACCCATTTCAAAACTAGACTTTTTTCTAATACCATCAAAGGTATCATGAAGTGGTGTTAAATGATGGGATTATACTGGAGTCAGGATTCCTTCCCTAAAACCGTTTAAACCTCGACTAAAATGAACTCCTGGTTGGGAAATGTCGAGTCCTCACACATGGATGGTTATTCCCAAAACTTAATCTGCTAATCCAACTCTTTGTAAAGTCAATCCTTGCTATTTCATCTTTAATACGATCATGAATCTGGCGGAGCAGTTTAAATGCTGCTCTCAGTGTTACTTAGCATTTTCTTATCTGGTCGTATGTTCCTTCTGGATTGCCGTTCATTGAAATTAAAATGTGTTTAACTACAGTGGTAAATGTGTCAGAAAGTATTATACAATCTTGTGGGCCCACATTAAAACATCAAATTGAGAATATATCGGTTCACATTACAAGAAAATACTGGAATTATACGTGTTTTCCAATTCCATTGAAGTCTGTTTGACAATCTGCGAGGTATGAACAGATATTGCTCACCTTGCTTTGTTCCTCTCTCTCCTCAGCATGCATCCAAATTGGTTTGTTCTCATCTGCAGAGAAACACATGGGAAGAAGTTTATCAGTACTGACGAACATCCACTCAGATAAACAACAGTCACTGGTTCTGAAGTAGTAAACCTTTTTTTATTTTTCAGCTGAAAGGTCATTTTTGTTTACAGCTACGAAAAAATAACAGCAGCCTGAATTTATTAACCTTTATATTAGAAGAATATAAACAGCAGGGGTTGTCAGATATATCAGATCTGTTTGTTTGTGGTATTTGAAGTGAGTCTGGGTGAGATGATACTGGCTGAAATGTGTGTGTACTTGTGTGTATAATCCAGTCACATGTCGTACCATCAACAGAGCCGAACTCCCTCTCGTGAGCGCGGGTCAGGATTTCTTTGTACAGCGTCTCAGCTTGCTTGAACTTGCCCTGCTTCAGGTAACATGACGCCTGAGGAACAAAGAGAACCAGACATTAAGAGTCAGCAGGACACTGTACATGAGACAAAGGCAGTTGCCCTGAGGAGATAAATATTTTAAATAAGTATTTTACGTTTCTTTTTTGCACAAGTACTATTAAGTGACAATTGTGGCATCTAAGTTGTTAAACTTGTTGTATAATTTTCACTTGAACATAATAATTGTGATTAAATCATGGGGTTAAATTATAAAGAGTAGCATTTAAGCTCAATAAAAGTGTTTGGGATGTTTTGAATGTTCAGTAAGAGAAGTAGCATGTTGTAAAATGTGTCACACAAAATGTTTGTTATCACAATTAAAATACCTAAAGTAAAAATGTAGCTCTCATATACTCATTTCTATTTTTTAGTAGAAATCTTGGTTTTTATTCTAGCTATGGCCGAAGACAGGTGTTGAGGTTTTGGCTCAGGTTGCTCTTGGACAGAAAACTATAGAGGCTCTTGCCGATTCAGATTTTGGCCCATATGTAGCTCTTCTTGCCACCTACAAAGCACGAGGATGGCTAATATTACCAATCTTCTAGAGGCACATAAACATATTTTACATTGCCTTTTTTCAGATGTTACTGGGCTTCAGTACTGCAATGTTGATTTTAGGTAGTTAATAAACTCTCATTTGAAATCTATACACAAAACTTAGAATGAAACACAAGTTTAACTGGGCATTAATTTAGCATGTAGCAGCATCTTTAAAATACATTTAAACCCCTTTACTTATTGTTATAATATGAATATAACAAATATCTACTATTAAACCGTTTTTCCTCATCCTAGACTCCACCCCTCACCAGGTTGTTCTTGGTCTTGGCCACGTTGGGGTCGTCGTGACCCAGCTTGGTCTGGTAGATCTCCAGCGCTCTCATGTAGTAGTACTCCACCTCCTCGTACTTGCCCTGGTTCTGACACAGCAGGGCCAGGTTGTTCAGCTGCTTGGCCACATCCGGGTGGTCCTTCCCCAGCACCTGGGACGGAAGCAAGACGAGAGGCGGTTAAAACAACACTCGGTACTTAAACCATAACAAGCTTTAGACGACAACCTGTGTCTGACATTGGGCCATTTGGTCAACAGGGGGTGGAAATACCAACAGCCTGAAACCACCTGATGCCTAGACCTGTTGTGTGTAAAATTGGCTAGAAAACTTTGGAAATCATTCAGTTCTTTCATTTCTGAAAATCCCTCTGGGTCCACCTTTAGGTCCAAATGTTCTTGGAATACAAAGTGGCTTGCCGATATGTTGACTATTGGGAATATTTGTTACATCTCTTGCCAGGTTGCATTGACTTTTGCTCGGCTTTTTACGGTTTCTTTGTGATGTTCCTGCAGTTCAGGTTGAATCTAATATAAGACATGAGAAAAAGATCCCCCAATAACAAACAGTGAACACATAACCTCCTTAATACTTGCTATTGTAGCCCCATAAAACCTGGTTGCCAAATTGGGAATGTAATCTTTTAACTGTTGTTCACAATTCTATCCAACATACAGAGGTGTCTCTGATGGATTTCGACCTGTGGACTATTGACGCGTTTGATTAAATAAAAGCGGAGTCCAGTGGACAAACACATCAATGGAAGAACAAACAGCATTATTATTTTAAATAACGATATTCCCCCCTATCTCTGCACACAGCCAAAAGAAGCACCACGATTTTTATTTTTAAGTGGATGTGATTTTGTCGATATGTGCTGACTGAGTAGCCATTAGTGGCAAGTGCAGTAAGCTTGAAAGAGATGCAGAATTATCTCCAGGGAATAGGTGGCCAGACCTAGAAAACTGTAGACAGGGTTTTCACTGAGACTGACTGACCATCAAAGAAAAGGAGACCAGGGAGAGTAAGAGGGAAATGAACATGCAGACAAGAGAGGGAAAGAAGAGGAGACAGGCTTAGACCTCAAATCTCATTTCCTTCCTTGCACTTCCCCTTTGAAAGAGGATGAAAGAGTAGAGAATGCAAAAGAGAAAATGGCATTAGGTCAGAGAAAGACAGTTCTCCCTGCAGCATTGAGAAACCACTTCAGAAAAAACACGATGGGAGGGAGTGCAGAGGAAAATCTGAGAAAGAAAGCACTTGATGTGAAAAATGAAAGAGTATCAGAGATATAAGTCAAGACCTTTGGGGGAGATTTGGCTTTAGATTATTAAAGAATATGTCTGTAGGAGGTCTGAAATCAAACCCTTACAGGATCCTCCCCCTCAGTTTTGAAGATCTCTGATCCACATGATGGTGCAGAGATATCTACCTACAGTATTTACTCAGTCTCCTTCTTTGCATCACACATCTGACAGCTCTCCTGTAAACATCGTTAGCTAGAAAAGGATTGCCATAAGCCATGCTTGACGGTGAGGTCTGGGTCACCGAGGAATTGATTGTGTTTATTGATGGCTGTCATGTTTTGAAATACCAAAAGTGCTGCAGTGTGAAGTGGTTTCTGGGAAGCTTTTGGAAACACTACTTTCATCTTAAATTAAGCCGAAGAGCCTCTACTTACAGGGCATCGACTGAATCTGTCTTTTATCCAAATATTTACTGGATATGGGGATTTCTGAGAAATTCAGGATATAGTTTCTATCCCTCTGTGACAGACTAACATATTTCAACAAAGAAGTCTGGACAAAGAGACAGTTAGCAGCAGGTAGGGCTTCAGTTTTCAGCTCAAGGACATTTGAGCAGACAAGAATACTGCTGTTCTAGTCAAAATACAGCCAGATTAAATCGTTGTTACGTGCTTTGAGTTAGAGAAAAAATTCCACTGTTATCCAAAGTTTTAGATTTAAACTTCAGACAATTCAGTGAGAGAAGTTTATGCGTATTCTGTCCTCATTTTGAGACAGAATTTAATTATTCTTTTCCATTCAAGAAGGAAAAGGCTGGCAATGTGTTACACTTTTCCTATCAGGCTTTTTTTATGAAGGCTCAATTAGAGCAGGTCACTGTAGAAATAAATCAAACAATCAAACAAACTGTTGCATTTCCTAGAGACCATTTTCACTATATGGTACCCTAGTGGGTAATTGGTGTTTTAAGTGGGATTGAGTCGAATACAAATTCTATATTATTCCTTTAATAGAATGTTTAGTGGCAATATAGTTTGGAACATTTTGTATATTCTTCAGTCATTGTCATTAGGTGACAACTTATCCAAACACTTATTAGATTGCATTTGGAACAAAATCATACTTCTATAGAAAATATGGATATTCATTATGAATACTTCATATAACCACTTGGATCAGTATCAGATCTGGATTCCTAACGTGAAACAAAGCGCAGAATCCTCCTGGATTCAGCAACAAAATGTTTGAATGTCTGACTATAGTAGTCAAAATGTTTTATATCAGTTTATAGCTCATCCCCATCTCCCTGATGCCAAGCAAACTCGCTGGTAAGCCGAGTTTACCTGAGCTTCTTTAAAAAGGCAAACTGTCAGTAGAAGCTTTCTGATTCAGCAGCTCTGCAGCAGCCACCTCGCCTGTGCAGGGAAAACTCAGCTGCAAATCCTTTAGCTTAAGCGAAAGCATTATCATTTGAGTTTAAGTAGCAAAAGAAAAAAAAATGAAACCGCTCAGCTTAACCAAAGCTGACGTCTCATACTCAGAGGAGTGAAAAAGAGAGCGAAGGAGAAATGTTCAAAGGCAGGAGCCGAGGATGGAGAGAGTAGTGAGTGAGAAATGTTGTCTGCACTTTTAGGATTGTTGAGCAGCATCTCTGTAAGCACCAAACTAGAGGTCAGACACAATAAAGATGATTATCTCCACTGATCTATTTACAGGCTGTCCTATGATCCACTTTCTTGAGTCAAGAAAGAACAATGCAAGTCTAATAAGCGGACATTACAATGAAATACTAAGAACATGGGTGAAGAAGCAAAGCAGGTTACATTTCTTATGCATTTAGTCAAGACACAAGACCAATTAGGAGAGTATAGAGGGAAAGGGAAGTGGTTTGCATGGGTATTTAAAAGTGACATTAGGAAGTTGGATTATGATGTCTCTACCAATATCAAAGTCAAAGCAAGGGATTTCATTGGGTGCTTATATTATGTCATGTAAAAGATATGTTTGGTCTTAATGGGACTAGTGACTTTCATCACACAGCAGAGAGAATGGAGCCTGTTTTCATCCAGCTTAGATTTGCTGGGTTGCAGAGTATGAACACCGTGCATCTATTGCAGTTACCCTTTCTAAGGTTTCTTCCATTTTTCTCCCTATTAAAAGTTTTTTTTTTAATTATTTCCTTATATGGAACGGGGGTAAAAAAAGACGGATTTTTTTTTTTAACTAACTAACCCCAAGTCCATGCGGGTAATTTGTGATATGTAATTTTGGGCCATATAAATATAATTGATTTTGCTTGCCATCTACAACTGATCAAATCAAATGACATCATTTCAGGCAAAATATGCATCATTGGATAGAGATGAGAAGATGCTTTTGTATACTTTTGTGTGAAATCAAACAAAGAATTTGGAGTATTAAATCCTTCAATGTCATAACTGTATACTTCTTCAAATGAAAGCTTAACAGGATGTAGAAACATTAAGCATTTGTCCTCCATTCTGTAGCCTTACAGCTCAAGGGTACCATCTTGAGTGATATATCCAGTGCTTAGTGTTTCACTGCTGTTTGCCTAAATAGGACACACAGTTTGTCTGAAAGTGAAGCGAAAGTAAACTTTAGTTTCAAAGTGAAAGCTTAACGCCTGGTGAAGAACAAACTGACCATGTGTTGGCTGTGGAGAACAAGTATAAAACATCTGCTTCGTCATGGCTTCCTATCATGTGTTTAACAGCTTCTGAATCAGTTTTTTCATGGTGTTAGATGACCTTTGACCTACCTTTTCTCTGATCTCCAGCGCCCTCTTGCACAGGGGCTCTGCTTCCTTGTACTTCCCCCTCTTCCCATACAGGACAGCCAGGTTATTAAGTGTGGCAGCGACCTGACAGGAACACAAACATTATTCATTATTATGTTGTTTTCCAATCCTGGTCTTAATCATCATCACCCATGATGCCCATCAACCGCGAGACTCCGCCATTGATCTGGTGAGAGAGTAATTAACAAGGAGGAAGAAGACGTGCGGGAACAGGAAGTGATTATGGTGGGCTGTAATTTGCTCCAAATTCGTCATACATCTGATTTGGATCAGTCAGCAGGAGGGAGCCTGCAGCGGTGCCGGGAGGACACCTCTGATCTCTGATTCAGACGGGCTCTGGGGGCCATGTGGGCAGAGTGGGAGGAAGGAAGGGGTGAGGGTGGAGGGGGGAGATGGAGTTTGTTACGGAGTGAAGCAGTGATAGAGAGAAAGGAGAGTAACAAGACGAGCAGCGTAAAAGAATAAAAAGGTTCCCTAAAGAAAATGTCTTGCTTTTTGAAATTTGATTTTTGTTCAGTATCATTTATGATGATTCTCTCTTTTCTTCACAACCTATAAGAATGCTCTCTAAAAAAGGTGAAAACTGTTTCTCAAATACAACAATATAAGAGAAGATGAAGATCTTGTGTTCCATGACATACTGTAGCAGATCAGTCAATCTATCTTTTGCCTGGAAGACAATAAAAAGCAACAAAAAACCCTAGTTTTCTTGACTTGAATGCGGCTGAAACGTTTTTTTTTACATGCAGACAACTTGAGAGCCGGATGCTGTTGCTGTTCAACACGTAGGAAAGAACAACAATAAGAAGCTTCTTGTCTCTGACCTTCTTGCTCTTTGGGGCACAGCAGCACTCAGCTGGGGGCCCTTAACTATTTCCATACGTTCCCCTGGAAAGACTACAGTCTGTCCGAGGATGTCGGTTCACTAACCTCCACCTTTCAAACCTCCCTCACCAGGAAGGTGACAATGCACATTCCTAGGATTCAGTCTTCACCATGCCAAGAGTGAACCCTCGACCTGCCGCCCAACTGGCAAAGCTATAGACCACCCAACTAGTTCCTATGTAAACATAAAGTATGTGTGTTGGTGGAAAGATTGTGAGGTTTGAACCTGATTCAGGCATTAATAGGCAGAATTCAACATTAGGTTTGTTAATGATCACCTGGATGGAATCTTCTAAATATCTAACTTTTAAAATAGCGCAAAGGAAAAAAAATTGATGGAAAGAAGATTAGAAATAGGTGGGATTCAAAGTGAAAGGTGTGAGGAATTTGTGTCAAATAACTGGCTATATTATTGCCAAAACTAAGATTTCTTGATGATGAAATCACTAAGAAATACAACAAATTCGAAGAGAACAGATCAGGGCCTGCTGGCAGGATGGCAGGATGGAGGTGGGAGAGGGGGGGTGGGGAGGGCTAACCTCAGTTTCACAAAGTAGAGAGGGATGGAGGTCCAGACAGAGACACAGTCCTGCTGGGGTTAACACAGTTAGTCGACGATTGTGATTGATGATTGTCTCACTTTTAAACGTCATGTCAATAACCTGCTTAAAAAACTGAGGGTTAGACTAGGTTTCTTCTACAGGAACAAGTCCTGTTTCTCGCTCGAGGCCAGAAAAAGGCTAGTCACTGTGACCTTTTTACCTGTGCTGGACTATGGTGATCTGATTTATATGAATGCACCTGCCAATTGCCTGGTCAAGTTAGATGCTGCGTATCACAGTGCACTGAGATTTGTGACAAACTGTAAAGCATTAACTCATCACTGTACTCTGCAAGGGCTGGTCTGCCTTCACTAACTGTACGGAGGCTCAGTCACTGGTACATTTTTATATATAAAGCCATGTTAGGGAAACTTCCATCCGACATCTGCTCCCTGATCTCACGGCGAATTGTAAGTGGCTACTGCCTGAGATCGCATGCTGTGGTTTTATTAAATGTGCCAACTGCTAGGACTGTCTTAGGGAAGATAGCATTTAGATGCGCAGCTCCACTGTCCTGGAATAGTCTGCAATTAAAATGGAAACTGAGCAATCTGGTGCCACTAAATGTTTTCTTAAAGCTCGGTTGGATGCTACTGAATCGGAAGCTGTTGGTACCTGTGCATGTGGATAGTATGTAATTTGTAATCCCTGTAATGCTACTGTATGATGTCCTTTTGTTGCTCTGTTATGTTTTTAATGTTTCATGTGGAACCTACTTGAGCAGGTCTCCCTTGAAAAAGAGATCAATGATCTCAATGGGATACAACCTGGATAAATAAAGGTTTGAAATGAAATGAAATGAAAAGGTAATGGGCTCTGAGAAAAACAGTGTGTTAAATATTTATGGAATCTGCCGTGTCCAGACTGCAGTCACAACCCTGGAAAGATATATTAAAATGGTGTTTGGAAGAGAAAAGTGTGATTACAAATACATCATTTAGATTGTCTGAGGAGCATTAAACATTAAAACTGTACGAGGTGTACTTCTGGAGAACAGAAGTGTTGTTATTGATAGTCTAAAATGGAGAAATCTTAGGTATTAGGTAAGGTATTACATAACAATTATGTAAAATGCAAATGGTCGATTAATGGAAATTCTGACTGTAAACAAGTTAAAGCTGTTGTTTAGATAAGATGCTTACCATGTTCAGAAATATACTTTTATAAAAACGTATTTTCCAACAAGTACATTGGATCTTGGAGCACCACCTAGCAACTCTGAAACTTATTCTAGCTTCATGGGCTCTCTAATAAGGATAAATGCATCAAAACAGTCATTCAAACACTATTTTGGCTGCACTGTTATTTTGGCTGTCAGAGTTGTTCTATGCGTTACCTGAGGGGGAACAGGGTAAATGTTTTTAAATGAATTGTATTGATCTTCTGAGGGGGAAACCAGGACACTGCAGCAGCCAAAAATAGGTGAATAAAAAAGGGTATGGGTAATGGGTAACAGTGTCTAACAAGATAAAGATGTCTTATTTTCTTTTACATAAATGTACTAACTCGGTTAAAGGGTTAAGAAATCAATTTTTAGAGCTCTATATTTTCAAGGAATAGTTTGACATTTTGGGAATAGGCTTATTTGCTTTCTTTATGAGAGTGAGATGAGAAGATCAAAACCAATTCCTTGTTAATACAGTTATAATAAAGCAACAGCAACACAGCGACCAGTTAGCTTAGCATAAAAACAACTGGACATAGCTAGCCTGGCTCTAGCAAAAATATACAAAACTAGACCATAAGCAACGGCATATAAAGTCTCATAAAACCACACATTGTTTATTTAAGCTTCAATTATTGTATGGATAAAATAAACGAGGTAAACATAGTAATTAGATATTTTTGGATGTGTTGGTAGGCTTTTGTAGAGCAAGGCTAGCGGTTTTTAGTTTGTATGCTTAGCTCAGCAATGCATGTAATTGCTGTCGCTTCATATTTACCATACAAACATTAGTGGCAACAATCTTGTCATCTAACTCTGAGCAAAACAAATGCTGTTCAGAAATGATAATTATCTCTTTATTGTCGCACACATGGATCACGTTGCTAAGGTATTACTTTTTTGTTAGGTTTAAATGTTTCAATGAGTATTTATTTAATAGTATTTGCTATTTTATGTACTATTCTGTACCTTAATGTAAGGAAAATCCACCCTACAAACTACTATGTTAATTTAAAATACAGGATAACAACTCTAGATGACTATAATTCAGATAAATCTCTGGGTGTTATGTCGAGACAGATGCACTTACAGCTGGATGGTCCCGGCCGAGGGTCTTCTCTCTGATGGCCAGAGCATCATTCAGCAGGTTGGCTGCCTCCTTATATTTGTTCTGATCCCTGAAACAGACAGAAGCAGACAGAGTGAGACAGGAAAAACAGACAGAGATGGATAGACAAGCACACAAAGAAGAGAAACATAAACTATGCTAACAACTTCCACTAACAGCCCATTATTTTCAGGCAACAAGGTCCAAATAGCTTTGCAGCAGTTCCCACAGTCAATGCAACAAACTGCTGACAACAAGGCGACCCTCTCTCTCTCCTGACTAGTCACTGCACTCACTATTCAATGGATAAGATTTGTGATAGTAAGAAACCAAGGGGTCCAACTCCTGTAAAACACTTGAGTCTTTTCTTCCTTTCTTCCTTTCTTCTTGAGCTGGGAAATCAACACTTCCCCGATTCTATTACAGTACTGTAAATCTTTTGGCTGTGTCTGCTATGTTTGCTTTGTTCCACTTCTGACGTAGAAAGGCATCCAACGACCATTGGGGAGGTCCTATATTAGAGGCCTGTCCCACAATGCTTTGAGGGTTGTTAGCAAGAGGTTTCAAGGGACATGCCACTGTGTTGTGATGGTGACAAACAGACAACATGCTGTTACCATTATCACATCTTACTCTGTGGTAAAAAGCCACATTTTAGTAGGATTTTAAGGGTTTTCGAATTTTGCTAGGAGAGCAGCAGGGTTGAAAACACTCCTTTCATTGAAAACTACCAAAACATTATCACAATTTTCACTAACAGACTCAAATAAGAAGTCCTGGAGCTGCTTGTAAAATAGTCAGAGTAGCCCGGTACTTCAAAGATTTACAAGCTAGTAAAGACTTGTTTTCATGGTGCAAACAGGGTGATGTAAGAAACAGAGGAGTAATTAAAAACTAGTCCTAGCACTGACTGCAGTTGTTTGATTTATCATCAAAGGGACTTGACAGAGAAAAAATATATTATCTTAAACTTGCCATGTGTTAAAAATCTATGAAATATTCCCCCTAAACTGATTAAACAATCAAAAATTAAACAAAAATCAAGGTGAAGCATTCTGGCTTTATATGCATTCTCAGTTATATAAGCCCCTCTGCCATTTTGCAGATAAACTCCTGCATTGCTGTATGTCCAGGACCCTATTTCCAAAACCACAACTGCAATCCGGGCCCCGAGATAAATGATTTGGTAGACCGACCTGTAAACAAGGGCGAGGATGTTGAGCATGGTGGCCACGTCTGGGTGGTCGTGTCCAGAGGTCTTCTCCAGGTCTTCCAGGGCCTGTTTGCAGAGCGGCACGGCCACCTCGTAGCGGCCCTGCGAGGCGTACTGGATCACCAGGTTGTGCAGGGTCCTCAGGCGGGCCGGGATCTCGTAGCCCCCCTGCTGAGCAGCCGCTGCTGCAGCACTGCCATGAGACGGCTGGACTGTGGACACACGGAGGAAAGAGGAAGAAAAGATTAAGTCAGGACACACACCTCAGGGATTTTGAACATTTAAATATAATTGCATGCACTTAATACATAATCCAGAAAGCAAAGGATTATATTAGACCCATTTATAAAAATCCTTAAAAGGACAAGTTATGTATAAAATACAGATAATTTTGATTCTATTTTGTGGGTCAAAGTTAATACCTCAACAAACAAACAAACACAGGGCTGGCTGTAAACATATGTCCAACAAACAAGATTATTCACGCATAAACAATGTCCTCATTCTGCTACGATGCACAGAACATTCTGCAGTGTCAGGAGGACGTGATGAAGAATCTCTCTCATGCAGTATTTCTGTCTCTGTAGGAGTGTGTGAGTGAGTGTGTAAGCATGTGTGTGTGTGTGTGTGTGTGTGTGTGTGTGTGTGTGTGTGTGTGTGTGTGTGTGTGTGTGTGAGTGTGTGTGTGCAAGAGGTCAGCAAACCCCCTCATTGGGTTTCTTATGAAAAAATAGCAGGCAGCGCTAAATTTACTCTCAAGGAGAGCTGCTGGTGATTGGAGTGGGAACGCCAACGGCAGAGATAACAATCAACATCATGTGATACTCAGTGTGTGAACTGCAGATAATCACTTTGCATTGATTCATTTGCCAATTATTTTCTAAGAAATTTGAATTATACAGTTTTAAATGTTTGAGACATAAAGTATTGCATATTTTTATAGTAAAAATATGTTTATATATATTTTTTAATATTTGTGATTCTTGACCTTAGATGCGTTTTCTTTTACGGTGGTTATTTTTATGCACCAAAATGCTAATTCATTGTAGTGTATGTGAAAACTTACTTGGTAATGAACCTGATTCTGATTCCAATTCTGGGGTTAGTGAAATTGTTAAAAAAATGCGAAAGTCGTTATGCTAAGAAGTTAGAAAGCAAAATCATCTCAATTAAGAAGCTGGATCTCATGCTCTGCTTTCTACAATTATTTTAAACATTTTAATGGAGGTGCAACACTCAATCCTTGGATCGCCCCTTTAACAAATGCTGCTATGGGAGCAAGACACCAAATCTCCACAAGCTCATTCAGTAACTAACTATGTATAACATAGTAAGCTAAATGACTGAAATGTAAATATTTGGACACAAACACAGTGCATAAGCCTGAGGACAGCAGAGCGGTCATCATAATCATCTTATTTCCTGCTGACAGCAATTCAACAAAACCTCAAAAGCGTAGGAATAAGCTTGAGGATGAAAGACATCCAATCTAATCCACAATACACACACAACCACACCCACACCCACACAGCCACATTGAGTCTCAGGAAGCTCTCTTTCACACATAGAAGATTAATGCCATACGATACTGCATTTCTTCAACATGCACCTACCAGCCCCCCCTTCAATTTCCCCATTTGAATAAAAGAACACACACATTTCCTCGAGTCTGCTAAAATGCTAATTCGATTTTTTACTTTTATTTAATCTCATAAAAGGAGGAGAAATTGAAGTTTGAAACCAATAAACTACTGCTTCCCTACCCTCCAGGCCACCTCCCATATGCTTGTTATTTATAGTCCTTTGCTTATACCATCCACAATGTAGCGTCTACATAGTATTTACTTAAGCGCTGATGTAGGTGTGAGCAGGAATATGCGGGTGTGTGCAACAATGAAACATGTTTATGTGTAAATGGGTGTGGGCGCATAATTATTGCATGACAACAGTCCTACTTTTTAAAACCTCACTTGTAATTACCAACCGTTTATTGAGTGCCTGAAAACAATTCCTGAGTTTGAAATTCATCTTTCATTACTGGAAAAACCGGGGATCAGATACATTTAGGAAAATAAAAACACATTTCCACAACAACTATTTTAAAGAGGCCCTTTTATGCTTTTGGGGGCTTGGTCTGCAAATCCCTGTGTTCCCTCCAGAGGGAGTTTCTCTCCCACACACCATTCCCCCCCCTGCCCGAAACACCTCCATTGGACTCCTTTGTTTACTTCTGTAACATAATGACATCACTTTGTAACACTCGTGCTCAAACACATTGTACGTGATGAGGCTGAGGGACGGACGGGACATCTCTAAGCAGTTGACCAATCACAGCAAAGCCGGCCAGCTAACCAATCAGAGCAGACTTGACTTGACTCTGTTTCAGACAGAGGGTAAAAAGAGGTGCTGCAGCACAGGCAGTATGAGAAAAATACATTTTTGAATATTAAAGCATGGAACAAATAAATTAAAACAAATATTTCTAAACAAATCTCCTGCCCGTCCTTTTCTATGGCTTTTTGATATATAGCATTTACGCTGATGTCTCTATCTTAATAACTCAGAAGAGAAACTTTAAATCAATATGCAGTATTGACCTCTACAGTCAGTGACACGCCTTCTATTGAGATTTATGCTGTAGAATGTAAATCCTATGTTCCCCATAGTCCCCGACGTAACTCACAGCTATACTCTATTAAATTCTGTCTCCCCTGTTGAGTCATAACTCATATTCAGTCCGTGCTGCTCAACACAGCAAAGGATTTATTCACACTGCTAGAGAAAATGCTGAAAATTGTATAATGAAGCCAGTTTTCCATGTAGTCTTAAAATTAGACACAATATACTGAAATCAGCCTGCTTCCTCAGCTCTAAAACCTGCACTCCAGTCAGAATGTCAGCCAAAACATCAAGAAGTCTGGGTCAAAACCTAAAATCACACCAACGAATAACCATAAGAGAAGGGAATTACCACTGAGCATCAACCGTGGCAAAGCTGGAGAACAAGCTGTTCATTGTAAAAAAAGAAGTGAAACTTAATATCTTCAGTTGAGGAAGAGCATCAGACGCAAATGTGTAGCTGACATTTTCGTTTCTTGATCTTTCTGACTCACAAAAGGACACAGCTGGCGTTGTTCTATATTGGAGTTATTGTCAAAGCCAATTTCCCCTTTCTCATCATTTCTTTCTAAAATATATGAAACTATGATATGGTTATCAAGACTGAATTACATTTTTAAAAAAGGTAAAACATGTATTACTCTCTTTCAAAATGTTCTGCTAGATATACTTTAATCTCATTCTAATTCAAACCTCCTACTTGAGCGATGTATTCAACAGTTTGACAAAGGGGTAAAGTGAACAAAGCTGCAGTCTGACTCATAGACTGATCTGCAGGAGTTAAAGAGTGTGAAGCAGTCTGCTGTCTATTTTGTCCCCAATTGAAACTGGCTGAGGAGGGAGCCAAATAGGAATCAACTGGGTGCAAAAAAGGGTTTAAAACTCTTTCAATGCCAAGTTTGGGAACAAAGTGTTTGCAGTTGTTTGTGGGGACCAGAGGCTTGTGGGTGGCTCTGTCAGTTGTCCCAAACAACATTCAAAGACCAACGATTTACTTCTTTAAATTCAGCCAGACTAGTGCCATAGCTCTTCTGGTGGGGTTTTGGTTTAAAATGAAGTTATAATACCTGTCAAATGCTGCTTTTGTATTGGGTTTTACAAAGAAGAACATTCTTTACATGGTCCCAAATATTTAAATGATTGTCATTTTATTCACTATTGGAGTATTTTGCCTAATATTATTTACCCTAGATACAGCCACACTAAAAAGGACACACTTTATATACCCGGAACTACAGTATATTACAGCAATCTGTTTTCACCCCATTTGGCCTTCCTCCAGGTTAAACCAGGTCCTGACTAATGGGCCTTTACAGTCAACACAGCTTTACTGTCTCGGCTACTGAGCTGCTGAAAGACCAGCCCTTCAAACACAGAGGGAAGGGGTGGACATGAGAAGTGGGAGAAAAGACAGTCAGAGCGGGGCAGAAAACCATAAAGTAGACAGAGTTGAAGAATCAAAGATTAATGAGGCTTCAGAAAAGTTCAGAAAAGCACGAGAAACCTGCTACTGTATATTATGTGATATATATTCTGACTGGTGGCATTCACTGACTGGACTTTAGTATTATATGAGTGTTGCCGGGGGAAAAGAGAATGAATGTATCTTACAGCAGTGACATTTTCAAAATGACTGCAACCTTCAGAACAATTATACTTTTCAGAAAAAAAAACATGCACATTCAGAGATGGATTTTTGATAGCAGTAAACAGAAGCAAAACGTATTTAGCCACCTAAAAGTGATCACCATATTAAGAACCTTTGTCACTGCTTTTTCTTGCTGCCCTTTTTAACGGGGAGCCAAAGATGTTATCTTTTTTCTCTTTTAAGCCACCAGACCCCCTTGACAAGAACAGTTATTGTACCTTGCAAAACACAGAAAATCAAAGATGGCGTGTATGTGTTTTTTGCTTGGTCATCCCATCCACAGCAGTACATATTCTCTAGCCATCTACTGTAATACACTGACTATAGACTGTATAGAGGACCTCATACAACCCCACTTGGAACTATCCTTTTCACTTTGTTAAAGCTGAAGTTAACTATGTCTTTCAACTTTTCTATATCACAACTATCTTTCCACTTGACTATCTTTGACACCCTTTCAATTAAATCTACGTCCCAAGGCCAGGGACTTAATTTCATTTCTTGGCCATGAGTAGATGGAGAAAGAGGAGGGAGGAACACTTACTGCCTGGAGCTTGGTCGTCGTGGTCATCTGGGAAGAGATCATCCAGATTCTCTTTACTGGAATCAGAGTCCTTCTCATCCTGAGAGGGGAGCCGTGGAGGGAGAGAAAGATGAGGAAGTAAATTAACAAACTGACTCTGAATTCATAGAAGAGCATTACAAACGTCTTATTCATGTGCTGATGCAGTCGTTCTGTAGTCTGGGTCCAGGCAAGCACATTTCAAAGTGTTAAGATATCTGAGATTGTATATATTGATAACATTTAATCGACTTTAAAGCCCAAAAATAGAACGTATTCACTGGGAGAGAAGGTACAGAAGGGAATAGGAAACTTTGAAAGGAAGATACAGACTGCACTCATATAAAAGCAGAACATCTATGAAGTGTGGAGCTTCTTCAGAAACTTGTATCAAGTGTTACTGAACCACTTAAGGATAGCTTGATACCTTATTTCCTTTTTGGATTGACTTGAAATCCAGGATTGAACTAAACTTTTCTGCCATATTTCTTAAGAACATCTTAAGCATGCTAACTTTGAAGAAGACTTACAGATGGGGACAAGTCCTCGTCGTACTTCTTCAGCTGGTTCATGAACTCCAGGTGCTTCTTCTCCTCCTCCAGCTGTGCGACGCTCTGCTCGCTCTTCTGCAGTTTCTGCTGCGTCCCGGCCAGCTCGTCCCTCAGCCACTGGTTCTCCTGGCAGAGCCGGCGCACCTGAGCCCGCAGCTTCTGCTTCTCCGACTCCACCGAGCTCAGGTGGCTCGACAGCGCCATCATAACCTGGAACAAGGCAAAGGGAGGGTTGTTATCACGCTAGTGCTGCTTCAAAGGTCACTAATAATCTCATCACATCATTTGGATGTTTGGAGTCTTTGGGGGTGATATATTCCCTGTATCCCTGAGCTACGGTCCTTGAACATGATCTCATTTGTATGAGTTGGCTTCAGGGGTGTCAAACTCAAATACACAGTGGGCCAAAATAAAAAAAATCGGTACTAGTCGAGGGCCGGACTGGTTCAATGTTTATTGCAAAACTTATTGAAATGAACTTATTGCACATATTAAACCTGGAACTAACAAAGCTTAAATGATTGCCTATAAAAACAACATTAAACATTAAATAATCAGTTGCATTCATTTCTTATGGCTCTATCTGCAGAGTCATTTCTTAGGATTACATTTTCCCACAGGCCAACAACAGCTGCCAAAAAACAATTTCCTCAAAGAAAAAAACAAACATGCCCTGTTGTCGCAAGAAAAAAAGTGCAGAAGGAAACATCCATTAAACTCAGTTTGCTGCTCTGTGATGCACACTAAGCCAGATACTTGGCATCTCATCTTGGGTGCAAGTTCATCAATGTTTGGGGTCAGGCTCTGAGCTGAGGAAATCCTCAGGATTGAGTGAAGATGTGCGGGCCAGATCTAATAGTAATTAGAAATTATCCTGCGAGCCGAAATTAAATCCACCAAGGGCCTGATTTGGCCCCCGGGCCTTGAGTTTGACACATGTGGAACAACCTCTTAACAATATTCATGATTATCCTCAGTCACCCCTAGCTACAATCATCCTGTGCTGATCTGAAAAACCCCTGCAAATCCTATGAAATTCAAGAATATCTTAATATGTTAAAATATCATTACACCAGAATCTTTCAAAAGAGGCCAAACGTATACCAAACCTTATAACTTACCAGGGACTAATTACAAAAAACATTACATATTTTAATTCTAAGAAAATAGTAGCCCTTTCAGTGGCAGCATCTTGTGTATATTAGGGTACTAAAACTACCAGTGAAAATAGTAGACTTCCCACCAGAACTAAATATGTGTATACTAATGTTATTGTCAGCCACTTTGGGTAAAAGGATCCACTTAATAGCATGTGGTGTGAGTGCAAGGCTGGGAGGTGTGTAATTAGACAAAGAGTTTGAAGCATCGTGGCATCTGGGGTTGTTGGAGGCAGAAAGATTATGCAGAAAATATGAATCACACTCTGTTTTACAATAACTGCAAGCTACCCAAAAGACTGAAGGTAGATATAAGACTCTGCATGGTGCAGTGTATTGTATTTTTAATAGGCAAAGCGTGCTGGGAGATGTAGAGAGGCTAAATCACAAACAGTGACTCATCAGTGATTCATGGGCCAACTGAGCAGAGGCATAACCAAAGTTTTCTGCATTTAAAAAAGTTTCTTCAAAAAGACTTAAATAAGTGATTTTGTCTACAGATAGGTTCATTAGTCTTAGTGGAAAACAGTGATTTAAAAATAATGTATGTATGTATATAACATGAGCAGAGATGGGGTCGTTACTAAAAAAAAGTAATATATTACATATTACATATTACTTTAAAAAAAAGTAATATATTACACTACTTCGTTACTCTCTACATAAAGTAACTCGTTACTTTACTCGTTACTTTACTCGCAGGGCCGGCCCGCCCCTCCCTACAGGCAGATCACGCAGACTGCTAAAGTTTCAAATGTTCTCTTTAGTTCAGTTTCCATTGTCGCATAAGACTGATCCAGATAGCTCTGACTATGGCTGTCCTCTGTCTCCTGCTATCTGTATTTTGCGCAGCATATCTCTGAACGATGCGATGGTGATTCCACTGTGCAAATGGGCAACATTACCTCTACTATGAAGGATGCTACAAGCCTGTCCATCTCTGCTTTGGTTACCGGTCCTCCAAATTCTAATTTGTGCCGCTTCGGAGTCGGCGGCGGCGCACTCACAACATCCTCACTCTGGGTTCGGGGGTCCTTAGCTATTAGCTTCACCTTAGCATGTGTTCTTTGCAGGTGTTTGTTGAGGTTTGACGTGGTGTTTACAGCAGTGGATAACAGCTTCTGGCCTGGACACAGTTTGCACCTCACCGTCACATTCCTGTCTATTCTTCGGACGAACTCAAAATAATGGGCATACCTCCACCCCTCGAAAGTTATCGCTGACTCTGCCATGTTTATGCAGCACTGTGGAGATGTGGACGCGCAAGTAGCGCAGATTACGTACATATAAACCTGCGGCGGAAACCCCTCTTGTCTGTCAGTGTGATTATGACTGATTTTATAAAAGTAACGAAGTAACGCGTGTCGGGGCAATGTTAGTAACTGTAGTGTGATTACTGAATTATAAAAGTAACGAGTTACACTACTCCGTTACCGACAAAAGTAATATTATTACAGTAACGCGTTACACCCAACTCTGAACATGAGACATGGTGTGTGAACTTATGAGAGAAATGTAAACACCTTGCATTGGAATTTGTGTGTACGCTTTGTTTTCTTAGTCTGTTATTATGTGTTTGGCTAAAGCAAGGCAAACTGCAGTCAGGTGAAGGTCAGTCCATCGGCTGCATTTCTTTTAAGCGTTTCTGGGATCTTTTTTAAGTCTGTCACTCTGCTCTCTCACGCAACAGATTTAAACAAATGTATGCGCAATGAACGTCTGATACTCGTCAGCGTGGGGACCGTTTGTCTGCCTGCTGTTCATTTAACTCCTCAGAAGCTGCGCTGCTTACAGGACAGCTGCTTCTGAGCACAGAAAGCAGAACAAAAGTCGAAGTAGGTGTGGTCTAAACAAAGATGCGCACCTTCCTGTGCTCGTCTATGGCAGAAATAAATACCTAAAATGAAAATTCAATTCTCCAGTTCCATGCAACTAGAGATAAAACTACCTGGCGGCTGGTACACAACGCATGTCGAAAAAAAAAAAGTCCTGCACTCTTCCTGCCCTCATAATATTTTTTTCAAATGGTATCACAAGGAAAAACATGACATGCTATAACTGTTTATATTTTAAGAATTTTAAAAGATTGGAGATATTAAATGTTAACGGCAGATGAAGGCAAAGCTATTCAGCATTTCATGTTCAGATCTTTTGGTTGAGTAATTGCAACATCAATTATTGATTATTATGAATGTGGTGTGCCTTCAAAGCAGCACGTCCCCCTTTGTGAGCGCTAATGGTCCCTTTACAGTAGCTGTACATTTCACTTAGTTACAAGTTGTTGATATGATTTCATTTCTCTTTTCTATATGTCTATTAACTATTAAAGGTGGGGTAAGTTTGAGAAACCGGCTCGAGATACACTTTTTGTTATATTCCATGGAATGCTCTTAACATCCCGATAGCAATGAATATCTTAAGTGCTTTGACAAAAATCCATAAAAAAATGTCATCTGTGGAAGCCGTAGTACTGTAAAAAGCACGACCAATCATTTTAGCCGGCCCGGCTAAAATAACTGGATGGCCTACCTGCCTGTCAGCCTTCCATCGGGGCACAAACTTATCTCGTGCCCTCATTGGTCATGTGCGCGTTTGTGTGTGTTGGAGGAGGGGCTCTGTAAGGAAGTGGCAGATTTGTTCCGGCTGTGTATTTTCAAATTCTAGCGCACTCGAGCCGGTTTCTCCAAAATTACATACCCCACCTTTAATTCATTTTTATTTTCGAAAAATATGTTTACCTTGTTTTGTGAGAGTTATTTAAGAAAAATAAATTGCATATTATTCACAGAAATAGCATGGCTTGTGACCTGGATCTGTTGGATATTGAGCACAGAGCATAACCATAATAACTCATGATAATGGTTCGTTACACACCTGTGCCTCGCTCAGCCCCAGCTCCAGCATCTCCATGGACTTGCGGATCATGTGGGACTTCTCCTCCACCAGGACGCCCTCCTCCTCCTGCTTCAGGCAGCGCAGCGTGCCCAGCAGGCCGTCCAGGATGGAGTGGTGCTCCTGCTTCAGGGCCTCCAGCCCCTGGATCACCTGCTTGGTCCGGGAGATGATCTCTTCCTGGGAAAGCTTCTCCCCAGGGTCCTCCTCCTCCTTCACGCACACCATGGTGGACATGTCCTCACGCATTCTACAGATTCAACATCAGGGAAAGGAAAACGATTTTCAAAATGATGTATGAATCCAATTTAAAGTGGATAAAGTTGTTTTTACCAGAACGTTCCTGGAGATCAGACAAATTAAACCAAGATCAATGATAAAAGAAACACGTATACATGTGCAGTTTATTATTTATCAGATAGGGATGTCCTCATTCATTTAGAAGTTCAAACATCACGCTCTGAGGCCAGAGGGAAAGACATTTTCTAAATCTGATCAAAACAAGAAAACTAAAAGCAGCTTGTTGTCATCTAAAGACTTCCACATTAGAACCAACTCATGATTTCTATGCTTGTTAACTCCTGACAGAAAAAGAACATTTAATTGAACGCATTAAAAGGTTTGATCAGGGTTAACTTCTGAAAGAAATTCAGAAACAACAGAACCATTAGGTATAGGAATCTTCACAAAGCCACAAATTGGACAACCTTCAGATGTTTCCTTCCAAGTGGCCTCCTCCTGACCTTTTCTCGTCTCATTGCTACAACACACCCTGATGCATCTCCGCTTACGATCAATACTCGGCTCCAGGTGAGAAACAACATTGTCTTAAACAAAAGGTCAGACTGTGTGTATCAGTACTTGCTTCAGGTTGAGATCATTAATAAGAAATGTTTCTCACTCAGACTACACCCAAGGTGTCTTTGTGTGAGGCACTGACAGCAGCAGGGTGTTGCAGCAACTGAACACGCTGCATAAACAAGAGGATACACATGAGGTCGCAGATAAATACTGTAGGAAGAGCTCAGAAAACTGAGGTGTCATCACTTAAGATGCTTTAAGAAAAAGAGTGACTTTGGTGCAGCTGTGATGAAAAAACAAACGGCAGACGATAAACCTGCCGCCTGCTGACAGCTCAAATCAGGATCTGAGGGCTGTGGGATGTGTGCGGTGAACAGATAACGACAGATATGAGGTGAGGATTTTTAGAAAGGGAAACTCACAAAAAGTAGAACACTTAAAAAACATGATGCCACCAGTCTTTAAATGTGTTTTATGGTTTGTTATGTTATACTGCTTCATCTTTATTATGAAGTCAAGTCAGCATTTATTGCCTAAAACCTACTTAAATGTGGCAAAATGTTCGAGATACCTCAAATAATATACAGTTTTAGTCTGGTATCCTTTTACAGTTACTGAAAGACTGCATGTTAATACATCTTTTTTCAGACATTGACTCAACAAACTCCACCTGCACTTCGACCCACTCAATCCAGACTTTCTTTGCTTTGTATGCATACACAAACACACACACACACACACAAACACACACACACACACACAGCGCACAAACTTAAGAGGATTATGACTCAGCAGTTCGGCAGCACTTGTAGCGAGCTTCCTAATAAATCCCTGCAAGCACACTGGACAGAAACTGCAAACTGAATAATTACAGAAACACTGACAGATGTTATGTTTCATTGCATTGCTCTGTGGAAAAAAAACTGAAATGTAATCTTTGGTGTGGCAGACTTACGTAAATGTTACCCTTCATTTTGCAATAATAAAAACAGCTTGCCCAACCTGAGTATAAAAGCTGCGGTGATAGACGTGTCCTGAACTGCCTTAGGTTACCATTTCAGTTCAAGTGTGAATAACAATATTTAAGGAGCGAGCGAGCAGAATTAGGAAGAGCCTTAGCTCCTATCGCTCCATGTGACTCAGCAACACGCCTGCAGCCTATCAGCTGACAGCGGGGCAGGAAACTGTGTGCAGGAGAAGATGGAAAAACAGCAGCTCCAGGTGAGCAGCGTGAGGGGACTTTCAGTGGGACTGACTGATATCGTAGGCAAACTGATTAGAGTGATTATCCTGTTGTAGCTCATAATCAGTTTCAAATAAACGCTACAACTACTATTTTCAGTATGTATTAATCTGTTGATTGTTTTATTGATTCAGTCATTATGTGATTAATAAAATGTCAAAAACAGTGACAAACTCCCTTTTACATTCTCATACGAACTAGCTTGGTGAATATCTTTATTGATAAGTCATTAGGAAATAACTAACAGGGGATCTATGTGAAATACAACAAGCAATATCATCTGCTAATAACAACAGCAATATCTGTCAGATTTTAATGTTCAACAGCCACCACCCAAAAACGTTACAATGAGCATTCATTACAAGTTTTCAATGATGTTGCAGAGAACAGAAGGTCTGCTGGGTCACTAGTAATACTCTATCAGTTCATTGAGAACATGCCAATTATAATTAATATAGCTACAACTCCCTGATGGCCGATAAGTAGACATTGTTGCACAGCTCACAACGGGGGAAAAAGACTATTCTTTCAGATGTAGCTATCAAAATAAAAGTTGTTCTTACACTTTGAAACCTATTGGACTGGATTATTGAAAGGCACACGCACTATATGAATTAGAAATCACTGTTTTATACAACACAGAGGAAGGTCAACTATCCTTAACTGCAAAAACCATTAAAGATAACAACAAGCACTGCAGCCTGTGTAATACAGAAGTGAAAGTGACAGCACAAGCTATTTCTTTTTTCCTGCTCCGACCCAACAGTCTTTTATTTTTGGCATCAGATGAGTCTCGGAGCACAAAGCACCACAGGGGGAAGGCACAGAAACTACTTTTGAAATGTTAATAGCTGGCTTGAAGGAGAGAGCCCGGAGACGCTGCAGCTCTTCGTGTACAGTAAGCAGATTAAAGCATGGTGATGGGGAGAATTGTAGGGTATGAATGAGGAGGGGTGGTGGGTTGTGTTTGGGACCAAGGAAGAAGAGGAACATTGAGTGCTTGCTCTAGGCTTTATGCCTGAGGAGCAGCAGGAAGAGCAGAACTGCGTAGCAATAATCTTAGTCAGCGATGTGTGGGCAGATAGGAACTGTGATTCACATCCACATTAAAGAACTAGAAAAGTCTGAAAGAGCCTCTCAAAGTCAAATGTTCTCTATCTTTCTGAGTATAACATATATTGGCGTTTGTTTACATGCTTTCTATCCATGATTCAAGAATGCCACAGTTGTTCTACCTGTATCCCCTCAATGAAAACATTTTTTGCATTTGCTTTTTACTGTCTTTGTTTGGTAAAAATAGCTTTAAAAACGTGGCAGGGTAGTTAACAACACTAGCTGTGATTACCACAGTAGAAACAAAAAGAGTGCAGCATACAGAAGTAAAGTCTTTAATGCGGTAAACATGTTGTTTACCGCATTAAAAGACAAATGTGTTAATAGAAAATGTACAAAACTATAACACAACGTTCTCAATGACTGACACTTTAAACGTGATTAAAGACACTGCAAACACTGACACATCATGATCTTTTGATTTGATATAGTGATTGTTAGCAATTATAAACAGTTCCCAATTTACCTGGAGCCTCATCAGCATTCATTCAGAGACATGTTTTTATCCACTTAACTAATTCAAGTCCAGTACTCACTTTCCTTTAAGGGTGTGTTTTCTAGTTCACTGGTATTTATTCCACTTTCTTAACTAGCTACTTTCCAGCTGTGTCTGTTTACTGTTTACTTTTTACTGTTTAGTTTAAGACCAGTGGTGTTAAATGGGTTCATCAGCACTTTTTTTGCTGACAAAAGACCTGATGAGAGCTGTGAGAGTGAAGACGAAACAGTAATGATGGTGTCCTTAAAAACAAAAACCACAAGCTGACAGACACTATAAAATCTGCAAATGCAAGAAGCAGTAGTCAAGTGATACTTTGATGATATAAAAACGATTAAAGCCTCTTCAAATTGATCAAAGTTGCTCACATACATCTTGTGCTGTTGCTTTTGTACTACAGATTTCATATGAGGCAGTTCTCAATGTCACTTCTCCCTCAGTTTAACTCAACTATGAAGCCTTTACAAGTGTATCATGTGACGACACATTAGCTTCAGACACCCAGAAAGGGGTTAACAAATCAGGCAGTGGAGACATGACACTGCAGGGCTGAAACAGAGCAAATTACAAGTATTCATATCAATAATGAACTGATGTTCAGTGTCTCAGGAGGACCTACAGGCAACACAATTAAAACTGTGAAAACATCTGATTCAAATGTATCCAACACAGGAACATAACTGCCTGATGAAATAGCCTGCTGCTGACTTGAACTATGGGTCATCTCTTAAAAAGGAGTTTTCTCATTAGGTAATTTATTTCTGTGACCCTTTACCAGACATTCATCAAAGCTGAGAGCCTCATTTCTCATTATTAAGAGTACGTCAGAGCCATTATGAAAGACCTGGATGTTAATTGTTGATGAATATTATCTTGATTAATCAATAGAGATGTGTTAAATCTCTAAAATAAGTCAAAGTCATCTAATGAGAAGATCTGAAACTGGAACATTTAAGACAATTTATCAAATATCACAATAGTCCTGATGAATTTTCTGACAATAGATTGATTAATTGTGACAAAAGCACAAACTGCAGCCTTCAAAGTGACCGCAAAGTTTGATCAACACATTTTCAAAACAGTTCATTAAAAACTGAACAAACCAAACATTATAACCTTTAAAAAAGTATTTACTGCCGGACTGTTGTTCAAGAGACCATACGTTTGAGCTAGTTGTTCCGAATAGACTGGCAACTAAGTGTATTTTCTTAATAAGTATTTCTGCTGCAAAGACACAAGCTCGAAGAAGAAAAAAACTATTTCGAGGCAAAGCATTTTCTTTCCAATGTCTGCATGATGTAGGTTTAAAACCCTGTGCCTTTATGTTAAATCTAATTGAATCCGAAGCCATAAATCAGCCAGACTAGTATAGATCGGCTGACATTCGGTTACGGCAGATTTATATATCTGTACAGGCCAATAAGTTAAAAGAAATAACAGTACAGAAATGCCAATAGAAGCCTGGTACTTAAGACCATGTCTCCTCGATACAGACACAACGTGAAGGAATCCTTATAAAAAATATGTTACAATAAAAAAAAAAATCATATACAAAACAGTACTGGTTGGACTTGAATTCAAGTACTAAGTCTGCAAGTTTAATGTGTAAAAGTACACAACAGTAAAATAAAAAAGGTACTGCATCTGCAATGTTTTAGCAGCAATTACCTTAAAATGTTATGCTGCTTTAAATGCTGCACCTGCAGAAGAGCTCTATGCTTCTCAAGCCGACCTGCAGCATTACAAGAAAATCTGCAGCGACCACACATAATTATCATTTTCAACCAGTAACACACACAAAACTTTCTGGGATTCAGCCAAACAAGCTGTCCCAGGAGAGCGGAGGGGTGGTATCCTGCAGGAGGAGCCCTGCTGCAGGTTGTCAAGAGTTACTCCTTTGTGGATGGATTAGATATTAATGACTGCAGGGTAGGGTACACAAACTCAGAAAGAAAACCTTATATGTATTCCTCAGATTTCTGTCATCAGAATACTTTAGAAATCTGAGGTGAAAATGGATTTTGTGACAGTTGCTCCATTGTCATATACTCTTAAATAAACCAAAAATATATGTGTTCAAACATAGAAGTAAGAGTAAACATGTGCACAGTGTACTACAAAATATGTTAAATAATATTCAGTAGTGTATTAATATTATAAAAGAATGTTACTGCTTAAACAGATTATTGCTCAAAGTGCACAGTGCAAAACAGTGATAAAAGTACTGCAGTTTAATAATTTATGTAGAATATTGCAGAATTGAATAGTTATTGCAGAGTATTGCACACATAAATAATTGCCAAGGTTGTGCAGCCCAATAATAGTTCATATAGCCCGGTTTTCAGTCATGCAGTGTAGACTCAGACATTGTGAATTAAATCTCAGATATTCATAAAACACCTTTCAGTGTTTCTCAGCTGTGATTCCCACACTGAGATCCAGTGTCCCTGTCGTCTCCTCAACACAGGCAGCTTTCAGTGCCATCAACCCCGCTTTGAATATCAATGAAAGGGACATCCAACATAACTATCACATGACAAACATCAAGACTATTTGGGTTGCTGCAGTGCATCCTTCCCAGGCATGTTTTCAGTCAATGCCCCTGTTGTTCCTGCTGCTTTTGTCCCCAGATATTTCACTAGCAAATGGATTAACCTGAAGAACCAGTTAGCAAAAATACCTCCCTGTCACACAAGCACTGCAGGGCTAACTCTGGGTTAGCACTCAGTGACAATAATGTGCTTAAAGCGTCTAATTCCTGCAATGAACGTAAACACGGACAACAAATGAAAGGAAAAACCATCTCTAAAACCTATTAAAATATTTAATAATTCATATTATTGTTGTTTCACAAGATGACACCTCAAAACGATATGAACATTTCAGTGAAAGTGGTTAATTAGTTTATGACCGTTCCAAGAAATACACGGAGCCATTCTTACCGTTCTCTGGGACATCCGTTTCCAAAGTAGCTTCAATGTAACGTCAATTTATCTCGCCTTTTTGACGTCCAAATCACTTATTTTTTAAATGAAACTGGTGTTGCTTTAAAGGTACAACTCCAGCCGATAAATAGAGTATGTAACTTTTAAAACACAATATCCAAAGTGTCTTCGAATGGGATATGTTCCTCTGGGTTTCACTGCATCAACCGCCGTTAATATATAATGACCAGCTAGCTACATAGCTAACCGGCTAACTGTCAAAACACTGGCTTTAGTCGGAGCCATAAATACAGAAAACCATGTTGTCCTTAAGTTCCATGGCAGTCCGTAAAACTAACTTGATGGCGGCTTCATGGGGTTGAATTAAAAGTTGACGAGTCGCCGGTGAAGCTGACAGCTCCCTGGTCCACTGGCTGGATGACTGACTGACTGCGCGGTGCGTGAAAATGGCGTTACCCGGCGCCCCCCTCACTTTCCTCGGTTACTAATGATGTCATCCCTGCTGCCCGGATTAAAGGGGAAGCTGTGGTGCGAACTCAGCTGCCAGATTTATTAAATGCAATACTTTAGTAAACCAATAAATACTGGTAGAGGAAGCGGTACCACAGTGAAGAAATACGAGTGAAAGTCAAAATCTTACCAACAAAACTATAGGCTTTGATTTATTCTAAGTAGCGAAAGGAAACTAATTCTAATTATCAGTGGTATAAAATAACTAATGTTCAAGTCCCTCAAACTTGAGAGTACAACTTTGAGTGATTTGTACTTTACTTGAGTAATTCAAGTATTGCTACTCAATGACTAGATGATTAGAATATGTATTATATTAGCTAATTTGCATAAAGAGTTATTTTACTTTTGATATCATTAGTAGCGTATAATGATGCTAAAATGTTGTACTTTTTGAGTAACATTTTGAATGCAGGACTTTTACTTGTTACAGTATTCCTACACTGTTAGTTCTACTTTTTAAGTACTTCTTCGACCTCCGCACATAATGCAGAAAGTCGTATTTCCCAATAATATAACTTATATTATGTAATTGTATTATAATTGTTGGTGCAGTAAAGTGTTCATCATTTTAATATTACAACTGAGCTAATTTAAACAACTCATGTCAATTTATATTTTGTATTAATGGAATAAATCTACAAATCATACATTTTTAAATGTATGACTTAACATCTAATCTGCAGACATCAAATGTTATGACTGTCTGTCCACAACTGTTAACATTTTTAGTATTACAAAACCATTCCTCTGCACTATTACATTTTCAATAGGGGGTTCTTAAATTGTTCTTTTTAGTGGGATTTGAATAAACTGTTATATTTTTGTCAATGGTTAACATTTCAGAATGTGAAATATTTGTATGTCTTTGACTCACACTGAAAAGCGACTTAGTATAACATGTTATACATTCAGAATACATGTTGTTACACAATAGTATTATTTAATTAATCTTGTTTCCTTTATTGATTCATTGTAAAAATATTAATTGAAGGCATTTTGGAAAAAAGGTTTGGATATTTGAAAATGATGTTTCACAATATTACAATGACAAAGAGATTCAACTAAGCCATGGCAATTGAGGGCTAGCTTAATCATGCAAGCTAAACATATTTTATATCAAGAGCAATCGTTTTTTGGCAATTCTTTACCATTTACTCATTACACTTTCCATTTGCTGCTGCAACACTGCACATTTCCCTGTTGTGGAACCAATAAAGGAATATCTCGTGAAATTTGAAGCAAATATGAAGCAGCCGTACAGAAAAATGCAGTAAAAACAAAGATAGGAGGGTGAGTAGATATTTTATTTGTGTATCAGGTGGTAGATGTGCTGTTATTCTTGTCTTTTCTTTTAGCAACAGTCCTCCAGATGTTCCTCAGAGCGACGCGGGCCATGAGCATGGTGATGGTGAAGTTACGTCGATACCATTCACTGTAAACAACGAGGGGGGGGGGAAGCTTTCAATGTAAATTCAGTGATAGAGTAAGACTTTAAATTATCTAGTGTCTGTACAATAAAATAAAGGTTTATTTTACTGAAATTACATTTGGATAAAGCTTTTAAATAGACTGAGCAATAATACCAGAGGGAAGAAATGTAAATGTTTGTGTCAGGTTGGTTTAAATCAAAGAAATAAGCCCACACATAGAAGAAAAATAAGTGCAGCAGCAGAGGTGATGTGTGGGCAGAAAACATATTTATGGAGAATGCAACAAACTTTAAACAAGCCAGCCACTTTGCAATGCTAATTCACACTCTTCAAAGCCTGCAATGTTTGTTGTGCAATACACACACACAGGGCACAGAATATAACTGTATATAAATGTCTTTAAAGCCCACAGCTCCTCTGCAGGGAGATTTACCCGCCCACCCAGCGGCACCATGGGAGATACCCAAAACAACTCACTTGTTATAACTCGAATGTCGTACTCTGTTTGTGTCCAAGAAGCCTTTGTAAAACACGGCCATCACTTCACTGTCCAGGGAGCGCCGCCGACCTGAGGGGGGAGGAGACCGAGGAGAAGGTTATATTCTTTGTAAGATGCAATGCATTTATAAAAGAAAGCACCAGATGTTACATAAATACTCAGTGTTCAATGTGCTTTTAATTATCAAGAAACGCAGAGGGGAGTTGGGGGAGAAATAGGGAGGAGACAAGAAGGAGGTAATAAAGGTGAGAAAGCAATGAAGGGAGTAAGGGAGGAAGCAAGTAAGGACAGATGGAAGGAGATTAAGAAGACACAGATTTATGGAAAGAAGATTGATGAAGAGAAGGCAAAGAGGGAGAAAATGGGATGGGGGATAGGAGACGGGCAAAAGATAGAAAAGGGAACAAGAGGAAAAGGGTGGACAGAGGGAAGGAAATGAGTAAGGAAAGGAGAGAAGATGGGAGGGAAGGAAAGTAAAATTATGAAAAGAGGTTAACGGAAAGGGAGCAAGGTAGTACAAGGTACAAGGTAGTACAAAGGTACTACATGAGTAGTAAATGAGACTAGTAGTATGAGAGAAGACAGACACAAGTGAAGAAGAATGGAGATATAAAAGGTGAAAAGGGAGCTGTACAGAGAAAAGGAGAACAAAACAAATATTGCAAATATTTGTTGGGTCTTGCAAAACCAGGAAGCTTTGGATTGTCAGCTGAAGCCTGAAGCTTCCTGGGTGAAAAAGACCCAAATTTCTCTGCGACATCGTAAAATCCTCATGAAACACTGCTCACAGGAGAAGGTACCGACGTCACCTCAACTACAGTCTGTCAGACTGAGGGTTATCTCTATGCAAAAGCATGCAGGATGTTTTTACACTCAGATTTACATGTTGATAACTGCATCCTTACCTTCCTCATCACGAGGAGTCAAGCCGTTTGCCTTCAGTTGTGAAATGATAAATTCTTCTTTTTCCTGCAAAAAGCATAACAATTACAGCTATAAATTCTCACTTAGAAGTTTAAATTGGCTTGTCCCCTTTAAATAAAAAAAAATAGACCATCACACAACAGTTTAGTTGTGTGATGCTGCCCTCTGCTGGTCAAAATCAATAGTTTCATGTTGTACAAAAGAGCTCTGCATGTAGACACAAATACTACAAATGTAGTCAATGACAAAAAATACATTTTTAATGTGGAAGCACTGCGGTCCTCCGAGCTCCATTTCAAGTGCATTGCCAAAATAACATTATTTATACCAATTCAAACTATCGGTCTAGGAAACCCAAATACTGCACTACTAGAAAAATTGTGCAATTCTAAAGCTGTAAAACAGCTAACATGGCAAGTAGCTTCTGTCATGGTAGATTAGTTCAAATTAATGAATTCTTTGATTTAAAAAAATATATATATATAGACATATATATATATATATATATAGACATTACTTCACCTTTAAAAAGGCATCCTAGAGTGCCAAAAGAATGTTGCAGTTTCAAGGCAATTGTTTTCAACTAATCTGATCTGTGACTTCTCTGGCTTGCATGTTATCTTGTTGTATACATCCCCAATAACCAGAAGTTTTCTTTCTTAAACATTAAATGAATCACCTCTGTGTCTTGATTTAAAATAAATAAAAAACATTTCCCACCTTTGTGAAGCTGAAGTTCTGTTTGGTCCAGAAGTCGTGGTTCCAGTTCTCGGTTTCCTGCCTCAGGTGTCTCAGACGTTTCTGCAGATCTGACTCGTTCTCAGGGATGTGGTAAACGATCGGACGGAGGTTAGAGAGAGGGTTCGGAGGACCGATCCAATCGTGAGTGGAGCTGACCGCCGGTCTGAAGGGAGATCTCTACATAGTATGAAAGAAATATAAAGAATTAGTATTCATTAAGAAAAGCATAATAGAAATCCAGAAGCCCTTTGATGGTGTAGAAACTATTATTTAGTGTAGGTTAAAGTAAAGTACTCAGCTTTAGATTAAATTATATACCCATAACCTTTTTAAACCCATACATTCAAGTGTGAGAAACTTTTGATATACACACACACAATGCACATGTTATCCAGGAGTTAAAGAAATTGTCCCCGGTTCATTTTTGTAGAGGCTTTGGTAAATATAGTCTGGTACTGTTGCTGAAAAAAGATATACTCTGACCATTTATTTTTGTCTTTCTTGTTACTTGAATGTTCATTTTTTTCTTGTTGTCATTCACAATAACCATATTTTTCCTTCCTTACATACATGCTGGAGGAGCCATTTATTTGTCACACTTTTTGAAATTTGCCACAAATCAGTTAATTGCCTGTTTGTTCAGGTGTTTGCAATAATCACAGTGGTCTCACTCACCTTGCAACAGAAAGGCAAAACATTTTTTAAGTCTGTTTTAAAGACACTTTTTAAACTAACCTAAGTTTTTTACTAGATTGAGTGCACACAATCCTGACATGCAAGTTAGTTGTTACATTTGAAGCACTTACGACTTTCCTGTCAGTGTCCTGCAGCTTACCTCGTCCTGGAAACGACTGAGCTACTGAATAAAACCTTCTTAAGTAGATGGGCCTGGATGATTGGACTGTATCATCCTGCCAAAATCAGAGGGGTGTTTGCAGGAGCCACTCCATGCAAGCAACAGCTTTTAAAGAGTGGAAATGTTTCTCTCCCCTGCAATTAACTATCGACTGAACTGCAGGTGTATACAATCCTGCAGTTGAGCAAGTCTCTGGTCAGAGTAGCACTCACCATGTTGCAGAAAGTTGTGTCAAGTTATGCTAGGTGGTATAAACAACGCAGCATTAGAAAAAGTGTCCATCAGTACAGGTTTTTTCTACCTCAAGAAAATAATCAAATTTGATGTATGGGATGGCTATTTCAAAGTATTTATAAATTGAATTTTCATACCGTTACAGTGATATAAGGCCAGATCGCCTATGCTTTAGACCAGTTATTTTCAGGTTATATACAGTACATTGTTTGTCACCATCGTAAACTATTTAAATAATCTGGGTGGATAAAATCCCTTTTGGATTCTTATTAAGGAATCCTATTGCAACATCATTGCAAACCAAAATGTTTCCATTACTCTTGAACTACACATGTTAAGACAGGTAGGAGTGAGATCAGGGTGCCGCCCTGCAGGTGATTTAATTTGAATGAACTGACTGAGTCAACAGAGGTTTGGCACGCATAGATACAAAGTGGGCACATGGTTTGAATAAATAGCAGACCAACACAGACATGCTTATCATTTCAAACCAGACTGCAGGGTGACGAGCAGCAAGGCAGAAACCCTGATGCACTCAAGAGACTGAAAACAGGTAGAAACAACTTCCTGTAACAAAGATAGCTAAAGATAACGTACGTGTAAATGCAATTATTGAAATGTCTTACATACCAATTTACAATATCGTTAAAGTTTTAGGATAACATGGAGTTCTTAAAGGCTCAATATGTTGATACTATCCTGAAGTAGTCTAGTACTGGGATGTTATTAAGTACATAATACTCAAGTAGTACACATTTCAGGTATTCGTAGTAGTATTTTCATTGTATGCTACTTTACTACATTTATTGAAATACTTAGTTACTCTGTAGATTTAGATTTTAATACAAAATGTTTTATATTTTGTTAAGCAACTTTACTGTAAGTAGGCCTATATATAAAACTTTTATTTTGTTGTACTTATAAACTGTGGTACAACTAATTGTACTTATCACAACTGCATCATTTAAATGTATTTACCTCTTACTTGTAATGGAGTATTTTTACATTATGATATCTCTATTACGAAACCATAGTTCTGAATGAATGTTATTGGCCCACACCAGCAACCGTATCATGGCAACAACACACACATGCTGCGCAACAAGCCGTGGGGGACATAACACAATTCAGGTAAGTCAGATATTCAACATGGCAGCACTTAGAGATTGTTTATTTAACAAATTATGATGATTTACTGTACGAACCTTTGGTGTTTTGTCCTGCTTGGTTGCCAGTTTGGAGCTACATTGCCGTATATTCAGTGCTGATATACTGCAAGGAGAGTGGAGTGTAAAAGGGCTGAAAATCCTCCATGCTGCTGCTGTTGTTTTGGACGCCATTTTTAACTAACCGACACTAAACAGCTGTTTTAAGAGGGATTTGTTTCCCTTACATGGCAGAGTGTCCGGATATTTATATAAACCTACAGTGTTCTGTTAGGGGAGTTCATATCGATGTCCTTCTGTGAGAACAACCCTCCGTCTGGTCACATGACTCCCACTATAGAAAAGAGGGGCTTCAAACATTCACCGGCGCAGCCCCGGGCGGGGTTTCTCCCAAACCATTCTTGTTGGTTCGCAGTGGTAGAAGAAATATAAAAGTACCAATATAATGATCTTAAAATCCTCCATTTAAAGTAACAGTCCTGAAATAAAATGTAACTTAAGTAGAAGTACAGTAGTGTCTTTTTCAACAGTATTATATTATTATGGACATGTATAGAAGTTATACGTGGCATCAAAGACACTTACTCAAATAAATTACACCTTTTTTTAAAATAGTATTCCAAGTACAGTGAGTATGAGTAGGCTACTTAGTTAGACTACATATACTTAGTCACTATGCAGCCAGATGGCTCTTTAGTGGTTGTGTTATAATGTAAGTACAAGTTACCACCTGTCAACGTATTCACCTTGTACCAAAACGTACTGAATATGCAGAATGGCCTATTTCAAAATACTATACTATATTTCTGAATTATCGTTATCATTTTTACATTCATTTGAATCATCACGTTAGAGTTGCAGCTGGCAAATGTGATGGTGGTATCATTTATTTTCTATACATCTAGGTAGCTTAATTTTTATAATACTTTGTTAGAATTTATAATATTAATTTTATTTTAGATTACAAATATATCTATATATTTATCTATTTTATAATAACACATAAGGATTTCTTAAAACTAGAAATTCTACTTCAGTGGAGTCCCAGAAAGCTTTACTCTTCTTGACTCTTATAAGGATTGTATTAGGATTATCTGTCACTTTTGGATGTCATATCAAGGTTCAATGTTCAGCTTGATTGTACGTTTACAACACAGCATTTGAACAATGACATCTATCGCAGCACTCTCCATTTTCACACTTTTGTATTATTATTTTATTATAATTAAAATGAAATAAAAACAGGCAATAAAACCAAATACATCGTATGTAGCAGTAAAGAAGGAAAGCATATGCATTTAACTATAAATGTAATAGATTTAAAAAAAGGACAATATATGCCTCGGAATTCTAGTGGAGTAAAAGAATAAACAACAAATCTCAAAAAAGGCCCTTCCTTTAGTATCCCCGCCCTTTCCGCCACGCATCAAACGGCACGATCATTTATACCTATGGAGCGCACCTAATGTTGGACAACCAAAACTTACCTTCCGTTACAAAAACGTCTAATAGAAATACGGGAAAATAAGACTTATTTTGTATGTATTCTACGTAAATGTGAATTTGTGAACCATTACCTAAACACTGATTTCCATTTGGAGTTATCAAGTGAATTAAACGTCCGTTTAAATGGTTTTATTCCCCGTATATGAAGCAAAGAGAAACTCCGCGCTAGTTCGTGAGCCGGAAAGTAACTACTAGAAGGTAGCTAGGTAGGCTAATGTTTAGCTTTCATGCTGGGGAGGTGCGCACTTTTCCACAACGTTTCAGATGGCTGTACGCTGGCTATGCAGGGTAAGGGTGAACCTATTAAAGTGACGAGGCGGTGTTTAATGTGTTAACACCACCAAATAAAACTGGAGTTATTCGGTAAAGGTGGGGCTGAGTCAGGTGATCAACGGTAGCGAGGACAATGGGGTTCAGACAGTGAAAACAAGAAGGTTTATTTGACTCAAAACTGCTTTTAAAATCATCTTTATGTTTCAGTAAGATATATATTTGTATATGAAGTTGTTTTTAAAGCGATAGTCGGTGTAGGATTACCCTCTGGTAGTCTGTGGGAGGGGCGACACACACACACCAGCCCGACCGCAGTCAGTCTTTAGGTGCTGAAGCTGACCGGAGCATCACGGACTCTCTCTCCCGTATTTCGGGGGGTAAATCTGGGGGCCACTTTGCTCCACACCCCGCCCTTCTGTGGCTGATGGAAACAGACATCCGTAGAAATGTGCGCGAATATGTTCGGCGTTTTGAAAAGGTGAGAAATAGATCTGTGTGTGTGCAAAAGCCTATGACAGGAGATGCTTCGATGTGTGTTCGTGCACGGTGTGTGTGTGTGTGTGTGTATTTTGCATATACCTTCGCAGCCAAATATTGGGATTTCATATGGCGACATAATGCGCAAAGCCGTGCAGGACCGGTGCATGCAGCCATGCAGGAGGGTGTGTTTTGAAAGGTTTCATAGCAAAAAGCATGGTGGGTGGTGGTCTCGATTGATTGCATGTTACCTCCAGCTCAATTAATATTGTGTGCGACTCATGGGTGGGAAGATTCCTACTAGCAAACGTATTACTTGATCACATCAGCCTCCCCTTTTTTGCTTGTCTCTCTTGGATCAAATTAAGGCACGAGGTGTTTGCCAGGCGTGCAGTGGATTTCGCTGAGATTATCCTAATGAATACTCAGATTTGTGAACCAGCCCATCGCCCTCTTACATAAAAGTAATTTAGGGAATGCTGCAAACACAATGCTGTCTATTCCACTAAGTGTTGTTGATGCTGTGAATAACAAACCTTCATATTGCGTGGGCTTTGTGTTGATATGTAACATGCACATCATGCTTTCAGACTGATAATGACTTCCCTCCCCTGAGCCATGTTCTGCTGCGAAAAACGACTAAATGTTATCGTGATCCTGCAGATATGGAAACTGCACTTTGATGTAGGCATTTCTGGATTATTGGGAACCATTTCCTTCACTTTTGACCTTTTCTTTGCCTGTTTTTAAAGCCTTTAGCTGGATTTATTGTAATGCTGGAGCTGGTTCTTTATCTCAGTAGATTTAAGGTTAGCATGGATGGATTACTGATCCAGGGGTCAAGGGTCAGGGCTTGTGTGAGAGCTGACTGTTATTCACATTGATGTTTTTAAAGTCAGTTTAGAGTAGGAATGACTTGATTGTAGTTTTTGCTCCTACTAAAAGTATTTTAAAATCTATCCTGCCCACGAAATCAAGCTGCACAGCATACCGAGGATAGAGTAAACAATTATTTCAAATAGAGTAACATTAAAAAAGGGACTTAAACCAGAAAATTCAAACGGAGAGAAATGAGACAGATCTACACTGGGTTGCAAAAACAACACCGCAAAATAACTACAAAGAGATACAAAATACATGAGGCACAAACGCTGACAGACAAAAGATTAAAAGACTACAACAACATGAACTCAACCAATACAAACAGACACAAAACCACAGAGAATAACCTGTATATACTGAAGCTTATAAGAAAAATGAAGTTGGTGTACAACACCAGAGGAATAACAGTCTTTACCTGGATGTAAACATCCTTATAATTAAATATTGAATTGTTTAAAAATGTAGAAATAAACCCATTATGTTGTGTCAAAAGATAGTTCAACAGCCTAAACGAGTAAACCTGTTAAAAATCAGACTGACATTTTGTAAATGTTGTTGAATTGGGATATGGGTATTTCCTTTTGCTCGCACACTTCCTGCACGAGTGTGGAAACTAATGTTTTTCATATTTTGGGTGTTATTCAGTTTATTTCCTCCTCAGTATTTAAAGCCTGATGGACAGGATGGATTCTGTTCATGTGGATTAAAGATATTTCACCATCATGTCAGTCAGCCAACCAGCCGGATAGAAATGAATATAAATGGTTGTCATGTGGGTGTTCCTCTTGTCGAGACGAAATGTAGGTTAACCTCATTCGTTTTCCTGCATGATTTGTAAGGGGTAAGAATTTCATATGAATGTATTATATGGGCATTTGTTCTTGTTTAATCTGAAGCTGGTATGTCATGTGAGTTAAGTGAGAAATGCAATGAAAGAGGTCAGGAAAAGTCCTTAGACTACTTCTCATTCAAGTAGAGGGATACGTTTATGTTAAAGGTGACCTATCATGTAAAATGCACTTTTTGATGTCTTTTATACATAAATATGTCCCCGGTGTGTCGGAACTCACGCAGCGTCAGAAAATAAAACCCTCTCTCTTTTCCTCCGTACCCAAATCTCTAAAAACGGGGGTACAACAGAGCTGATCCAGATTTGCGTCCGATATGACGTCATATCGGCAATGCAGACCCACAGCACTATCAGAAACGTTTCTATCAGAAACAATGCCCGACTGTTTTGGACGTAATATTGTCGGTGCATGTTTACATTAGCATCGCTAACACTCAGAGCTAACCTGTACTGGAGAGCATGTGTGTGAAGAAGCAGGAAATAAAAAGGAACTCACCTTGTGGTATAACCGGCAAGAGAGAAAGCCTTTGAGCTCCATACTGTTTCAGAAATAATCCTTGATAATCCATGATATGGCGTTTCATCACGGCAGAATCTGCCGGTAGAATCTCCCGCATGAGCAGGCATAAGCAGGCATAAGCTCCGCCCCTCTTTTTTTTTTAATCAATTTCCTCTTTTTTAAAGCTTTATACCCAAAATCAGCACTTTTGAAACAGGAAGTGAAATAAAGGGATATGAGGCATGGCTAGAATGGGTGATCTGTTTGGTATTTTGAGCAAAACACTTCATAGACATGTTTTTTATATATTTTTATATATCTGAGACCTATGCTATTGCCTAACAATAGCATGATAGGTGACCTTTAAAGGCTGTTTATAGCACCGTTTATTTTGGGGTCTTCTTGGTTTCAAAGATGTATTGGCCCTAACAAGGCAAATAAACCCCGTTCATGCATATGTAAGTAGAATCTCATCACAAAGTTTAGAAGCACACAATTATATTGAGCTTTTCAAGTAAATAGGTCTGTTGAAATAAGTAACCAGCGGAAAGAAATCCCTTTTAATATCCGTTTAAACATTTCCTGGTTAAATAAAGTTATTATCACAGTGTACACTCCTACCTCACTGCAGCAGGGTGAAATAGCTGGAGGTTATTTAGCTGTTACTCTAACTTTTTAGATTTTGCAAATGTGGTTGTTGCTAGACTACATTTGTTCTTGGCAGATATCTATTTGGATATTAGCCTTTGGCAGATATATCAGTATCAGTATCAGCACAGTTTTAGGGGTAATTCTGAAAAGGCATTACCTGTAGTCCATCATTCAGAGAGCATTTAAAGTATATGTTTTAACTGTAATGCATCCACATGCAGGTTAGTCAATATATATATATATTATATATATATTATATATATAAAAATATAAAAGTAAAAAGATTAATCTTTACTGATATATTGGTATCAGAAATATACACAAAAACTAGCTTTAAAAAATCAGTTACAGTTCGAGGAGCACATTTTATTTTTCACAAGATGAAGCTGCAACAAATTGAACATTGCAGGTTTAGTGAAGGGACATTTTCAGATAGATAAGGCTGGTTAACTTATCACGAAACTGGCAGCAAGTTGGAAAGTGACAGCTCAGTGGTGGAGTATTGGGATTTCTCTCACATCAAATGGATTATTCTCATGTTTAATGACTCAGCCTCCAGGCATTTCTGACATGACAGAACTGCCTGCAGAGTGGAGATACAACACTTTATCCGTGGCTTATTTTTCGTCCTATGATATATACATTTTCTTTGGTGCCAGAGTGGGCGGTGGTCTCTGGTGCAACACAACATCCATTGTGTTTGAATCAGAAGGTTATAACTGTAATGCAGATATGCTTTTGTTCCCACTGGAGATGCAGAGAAAGATGTTCACCTTTGTTTCCAATGCAGAAATGCAACATTATTTACATATTTAGTAGAATGTAAGAACAGGGCTAAAATAGGGCTGCACAATATCAATATTACTTGCGTTAATTCAACCATGTATATTAAATTGTACTCGGTTCTGCCTTTCTGCTGCTTTCACTTTACTGCTGAACTACAACAATTGCTTGTATAATTATTTTTAAAGAATTCCCACATTCTTGTAGTGAACAAAATGATCATTGAATAGTTCTTTAGCACTGTCTTAATGTTCTTTATGTCTCTTGTAAAGCACTTTAAATTGACTTGTTGAACTGCAATATAAATTAAACTTGCCTTTACCATTTACAAGGCACGAATACAAAATGTATATATTGCAAATATTTACTGCAATGTCGCAGTTTCGAATGATGTGTAAAGTGTGCAAGGTGATTACGATAAATGCTCATAGCATTTACAATTGACCACGTTGTTGTCATTTCCTCTGGAGTTGGTGGGTATTTGAATGTTTGGTTAAGGTTGCACAGTCTGTCTTCATGCCAGCTGCAGTGGCAGGGTTCCAGACAATAGTTGGAGGTCTCGTTGTTCCAGTGTTGGCTGTGAATATCTGAAAAGGAAGTTTTGAAGTAATCCGCCCATTCTGGGAAACAATGTCATCTCTGCTGAGGCTCTGCTCTGAAGTGTTTCTCATTGTTCTGACTTTCCCTCCTCTGCAGCCTGTTTGGGAAGCCCTTTGATGGAGGGAAGAGGATGGACCATGGCGCCCAGCAACATCAGCAGCATCACCCCATGGAGCAGCAGCAGCAGTCGTACCACCAGCAGCACCCGGCCATGATGCGGCTGTACGAGGTCCAGAAGGAGGTTCAGGTCCCTGGGGTCGGCGGTCTGCACCTTCAGCGGCCTGCAGCACGACCGCGACTACAAAGCGAGTCGAGCGCGAGCTGACGCGCCTGCTGCTGGAGGTGGACAAGGTCGACACGGAGGGCAAACCAGAGCTGCAGGGGCGCGGAGAAAAGAGCCGCACAGGAAGTGGAAGGCCTTCTGCGATACCTGGAGGAGAACGCCACGCACCCGTCCCGCATCGCCATAGAAGATCTGAGCAACGAGGGCGCGGCAGCTGGTGGACGACCGCGTGGTGGCGCCTCACGCTCGGGAGGCGTGGCTGAAAATAAACGACGAGCTGGTGGAACGCCCTGCAGGAGATAATCCTGAGGCTCACCCAGGTGAAGACGGAGGGGAGGGTGCCGCTCCGAAAGGCGCGATACCGGGCGCTGACTCGAATGTGCGCGGTGCAGGATGTGGTGGAGGGGCGCACCCAACAGCAGACCCTCTCCCTGCCGCTGTCCGGGGAGACCCACGAGGCGGTGAACCTCATCAACCAGGTGATGGTGAAGGTGAGCGTGGCCGCAGTCATGGTGGCTCTGCTGATGGGGCTGAGCGGCAGGGACAGCTGCGCTCACCTGTCCCGCATCCTGACGGAGATGCAGGTGGAGCTGGATGCTCTGGATGTTTCCGGGAATGCGGCGATCAGAAACTACAGGAAGCAGGTGGTGGAGGAGATAAACGGGCTGCTGAAACATCTGGACCTGGAGGGGGAGGGAGAGGACACCCGCAGGTAGGCTCCACTCAAAGGACGGATCAGGGCAATAACTAATACTGACTAACTCATAAGAAAATAACCACATACAATTTCTCTGCCTGCAGTCAGATAGACTTCCCAACAGTTTCCTAACTGACTAAAATGACCCGGAAGTATCTCAGTGGTATCCCTGATAACATTGGGTCAAATAATTGTAATGCTAAGGAAAGGAGCTTCAATGCTTTCTTTCTTAGCTGCATTAGCATAGTGTAAGTGCAATCTGCTTAGCTGCGTGTTTGTTTTCTCTTAAGTACTTATGAATTCTCCTTCACATCCTTACTTGAGCTGATGGAAAAGTACTGGACAAACTATTTTTGACTATTTGACCGCTAGTCCAAGATGAGGTCTTCAAATACAAGTTTAATTTGATGTAAAACAGAGAAACAACTATATATTTGAGATGCTGTCTCTTGTCAGTTTTGTATAAAAAAATGTGTATTCAATTATCAAAATATTTTGCAGCTCTACTTCAAGTACCTTGTTTTGGTTGTAAAAAACTGTCCAAAACCCGAATATATTTAAATTAATGTCATACAAGACTAAAAATAACAGTTGAGAACCATTTTGGTGCATCTGTTCATCAACAACTTTCTCAGCAGAATACAACTACATTTAACTTTAAATAAAGTTTACATTGTGCTGTGATGATGGGCTGATGGAGCCTGGGTGGTGGACTGGAGGAGGGACTGATTTGAATTATTCTACACTGAGAGGTGTAAATTAGACTCACAACACCAGAGAAGCGCTGATGGTAATAAAACGCCTACCGACTACGTTATAATGCAGAAACACAGACTGCAGCACTGATTCAAGAACCACTTAATCATAGTAAAACAAAACAATAAATAAATGAGGTAATATACATTTAAATAAGTTATGGTTTTGGCTGCAGAATGTCCTCAAAAGCACCCTTAACACTTAAGGTATTTAAAAGACATATGTTCTATAATATTCATAAATATATAATATGTACCCTAAGTACCCCCTAAAAATACTTAGGTGTTCAAACCGTATTGAATCAGATACTACAGTGAGTGATTGAAGATCAGGAGTGTTCATTGCAGTGATTCAGTGTTTGCCTCTTTCAGATACGACCTGGGGCAGAACAACTCTATCCGTGAGATCGAGGCAGTGCGTGCTCACGTGTTCCACCTGCGAGAGGGCGTCCTGCGGCACTGCATGATGGGAGATCTGAGCTTCAGGCCCAAAGCGGAGCTGCAGAGCCTCCTCACTCACCTGGACCAGGTGGACACGGCCAAGAACCCGTGCATCCGAGAGGCCCGCCGCCGCGCCGTGGTGGAGGTCCAGGCCATCATCACCTTCCTGGACCTCCGCGAGGCTTTAGCGCGCCGCCAGCCGGGCACCGAGCACCCTGCGCACCGGGCCGTGTGGCTGGTGCTCGGCAGCCTCTCGGACCTCCAGGCTCAGGCGCTGGGCTTCGATGGCAAGCGCATGGAAAAGAGCTACATGATGCTGGAGGAGCTGCTGACCAAACAGCTGCTGGCGCTGGACGCCGTGGACCCGCAGGGCGACGAGACCACCAAGATGGCGCGGAAACAGGCGGTGAAGTTCGCCCAAAACATTCTCAACTACCTGGACATGAAGACGGACGGGTGGGAGTATTGATAAAGGCGGAAACACCGGATGGGACTTCGCTGCAGGAACGAAAGGATCTGTGTGTAAATAAAACAAAAAAAACGTATCATTCCACGGGCTGTAAATATTGACTCCAACCCCCAGAATGCATTGCAGCAGCGCTTTTCTTTCATCTCTTTGTGGTAGTCGTGGCCGATCCAAGAAGAACACATTTTATGGAACACACACTTCAGTGCTCTCTGAAGGTTTTCTTTTTAAAAATCTCCCTGTACGTGTGTGTGAGGGTGTGTGTGCGAGTTACCGTCCGTCGTACTTGGTGTGTTTGTGTGTGTTAAAGCCTGCTGCCAAAGCTCTTGAATAATGCCTGTTCTCGTGGTTGTGTGTGTCCTCCAGACTGCACTTGATATTGATAAAGTGTGATAGATTGCGTCGCAGTAGCTTCCCTGTCTGGTCTGGTTTTAATTTAAGTTGCTGATGGAGCATGTGTTAAATACAGTGACCTAATTGTGGCTCGTTTCCTGATGGTTGGATGCCAATTTTAGGCATCAGAAGGATAGAAAATAGTCACATTTTGGAGCATTTTTTGTTAATTTCTTGCTGCAGTTTTGTTTTGAAATCAAGTTTGGTCTATTCAGAAAAGCAGAAGACGTGAGCAAACTTAAACTTCAGAGAAACTGAAATTTATTTGGGGTATTTTTGAGAAGCAGCATGAAAAGGCGTAGATGTGGAGCGGAGGTGTTTCCACACACTGGCATCGAAGCCAGGTCATCTGTGTTCAAACAGTTGGAAATCGTTTGCATTACGGTCACTCCCCACTGTGTGACCCTGTTGGTTTACCTTCTCCGTATTTATCACCCCAGCTGTCGTTGGCAAGCGGTCAAACGACACGCTGAGATACAGATAAAGCTAGCTGGAAAAAATCTGTCATCTTGTGTGAGAGGATGTTGGAAAGGTTTCCCCTCGCTGCTCGTGTCGTCTGTCTGGAAATGTTTGTTGTGACTTTGTGTGGGGCTATAAATGGATCAGGTTTTTTAGAAATTCAGAGACAGAAGAGGCAGATTTTTTTTCTTTGCTGCTGCTGCTTTTTGTTTCTACCCACCACTGCTTTCTACTGAGTGACTGTGAGACGTCCCCCAGGGAGAGGGAGGGAAAGGAGGGAGAAAGGGTGAGGTGGTGATCTACTCTGGATTGACACATCAAGGCTGAATCTCACCCAGCGGTCGGGACGAGAGAGGTGATGGTGATCGCAGCCGACACATCCTTCTAGAAACTTCTCGAGACGGTGGGAGGGGGAGAGAAAGTCCCAAAAATCTTCGTGCCTTTATTTTCACCCTTCCCTGTGTACCGGTAGGTTTGTGTATAGAAAAAGCAGCCTTTGCTCATTTTGATATTTAACGCTGAAGCACCGAATGTGTTTGTGGAGAGCACCTTGGCTGTCATCACAACAAGAAATGTGCACTACTTGTCAGAAAGTGTGGCCCTTTTAGATTCAGTATTTGTTCCCCGATGATAAACGACTAAAAGGTGAAGTTGTTCTGGTCAATAATCTTCTGTAACACAGGATGACAACGCCTCTTCTGCAGCCCGTGAGTCACGGTGTGATTTCACACTGCAAGCAGCCACGGGCAGATCTCTGGCTCTGAAAGCTATTTGGCAACATGAGCCTGAATACAAGATGACAAAACTAAATAATTAGTTCATTTCTATACAGCTTCCTGCTGACCTCTGAACATGTTGTTTCTGAGAAAGTATTTAGGAAGCCCTTTACTGCCAATGTGATGAAATATTAAAAGATTCAGTCATTATAATGAGAAACTCTTCAAAAAAAGGACTTGGTATCACAAAATAATGACTTAATATAAAAAAAATAATGACTTCATAATTATATTCCATTAATGTAATATGTATACATCTAAAGTGGGCCATTCTGCACGATTGGTACTTTTACTTTTAGTACTTAAACTTGCTTATGAATTAAAAAAACCTCAGTATGGACATTTCTGATTGCTGGCTGCTAGCAGTGTGAAACACAAAACATCAAATAAATCCCTGCAATAACTCGTAAAATATGATTAAAGCAACAAAGCTTAATGAAATACCAGCTGCCTAGAAAGACAATCTGTGTATTACTGCTTTTTATACAAAAGACCCCACAAAACCATGTCCCAGTGAAGACCCACAGACCAGTTTTATGTGCATTGAGCTGCATTTTCTGGCACAAAGCCTGCCGCTCGGCCTCCTGGGTAATGAGCTGACTCATACGGGAGGAAATTCAATTAAACAAAGTTCATTAAACATCATCAGCCGGCTGCAACAGATGCTTTCTCCGACCAAACCAACCCGGACACACCTTAAGTTCACATGCTCTTTTTTGTATGCAGTATTATATATATATAAATAATGTACATTTAGTTACTGCATTTCTGTAAATTGTTCTTAAGCATTCATTTGAAGGATTTATCAAACGTTTTACACTGTATAAAGGAATTAGATCTTTTTTTTTTGTCTAGTCCGTTCGATGCCTTCTTTTTTCTTTTTTTTTACTCCGTGTTAGTGATGAGTGGGCGTTCTGGCAACCAATATATATTCAGTGGTTGAAAAGTACAAATGTAGAAAGGATGGCCGTGAGGTAAAGCACCATTTTATAAAGGTTTTGCAAGAGTTTTGTGAGAAAAGGAAGCAAGAAGGCGTCAGAGAAAATCCCAAATATCACCACTACTACTCCTGTTATTTTGTTCAGTAAATATACAGACTGTAGTTTGAAGATTTACAAAACAATTGAACGTGTTAGAAATTGGATTTGATAACAGTAATATGATGCATTTGTGTGGCTGTATGCGGAAAGGACTTTCAATTGTCAAGTGTTATTCATTCCGTAGGTCATGTAAACACTTTAGTATGAATACGGTCTTTTTTATTCGCAAAAATGCAACATCTTTTGCATGTAAACAAAGTAATTTATGCATTTTATATGATGGATCAGACTCTGATAAACAAATCATTAATAGACACAGCCATTGACGGTTTTGGGATTTTCTTGGGATTGTTTGACGTTTGTTTGAAGATGAAAAATGTAAAATATTACCGGTTCAGACTCGATAGTCCTAAAACTGCTTATATAAAAAATACACAGTGTTTAACTACCTATTTATTTTTGGTGAAAAGAAAGTGAAAAAATATGTCAATTGTTACAAAAAGTCGCATTAATAGGGTCAATAAAACTGTGGGGATTATTATTACATTTAAAAATATCCTACAAAAGAAGTTACTTGGTCTTGACAGTCTTCTCCACCCAGACATCTTGTATACACACACACACGCACGATGGGCCACTAAAAGCCGCTCGGGGTCGTGCAGACTGTCTAAACTTGGTGGCATGAGTCCATTAGTCGGAGAGTTTCAGAGATTCATCCCTGGAGGTTTTTCGAGGTGGCTTCTGACGTCAATCCCTTTACAGGACGATGCATGTACGCACAGAGAACAAAGTGGGTGACTTACAGATTTAAATATTTAATTTTCCTGATCCTGGATTGAATGTAGTCATTAAGGAATGTTTTGTTCTCTGGATTTCAAAGTACCAAAGTTGTTTCAGAAACCTTTAATGTTCCCGGGACAATATGGAGGATTATGGTGATGAAGGAGAAGCTGGAGAGTTGTACGTATCTGAAAAGCATTTTGACAGAATTGGTGTTTAAAGAGCAACTTAACACCACCCAAAAATGATGCGTGCTGTGTTTAGAGTGCAAAAAACACTTTTGAGCTTGTTAAGTTGCATTTTGAAGATCAGCAGCAAGTTGCACCAGTTGATTGTAAGTTTGAGTCTAAGGTAAACACTAAATGCTACAAAATGTTCATTTGCAGTAATGTAATCTGTCCTTTAGTGCAGGAAAGTAACTGAACATAACTATTCCATACTATGGTACTTTATACTCCTACTACACATAACAGAGGCATATTGTGATTTCACTCCACTAAATGTATTTGAGCGCTAACCTAACTCAAATATGATCCATTTAAACGGATTAAACCAACCAACATAAATAGTTCAAATGAACCAACAGCAACATTAAAGTACAGTTTGCATATCAATGCGTTAATAATAATGATCCAATATTATAATATTAGTCGACACGCATGAATTGTGCATCATTTGCAGCTGCTATATGACCCTGATTCATAAAACATGTATGCACTAAAGATTTAACAACCAAAACACACCCATACAGTCTTGCAGCTGAGTACAATCAGCCCTTTTTTTTGCAAAAGGAGATCGACGTAATCATTTGTTCATTCTTTCATATAATAACTTTATTTTTTCATTCCTTTTTTTCATGTATTTTTCCAGAAATAACCTATTTTTAACACAAATGTCATTTCATCCTGTCACTGCATCCCATGATAAATTGAGTTTGAGCAGACACCAATTTCTAAATGTGCTGCCAGCTCTTTGATGACACTAATACTTTCACTGTAACTGTATTTGTATCAGAGCTGATGTTTGTTCATTGGAGCACTGAGGCTCATTTGCATAAAAAGTAGCCAATTATGCACCAAATGTATACATGTTACATGATTTAAATTGTGCTGGAGCTTGGCAGTGCAGTTGCTAATACTTCTGTACTTTTAATTGATATTCTGAATGCAAGACCTTTACCTGTAACAGAGTATTTCTACACTGTGATATTTTACTCAAGTAAAGGATTTGAATATTTCTTCCACCAGTGCTGTATACTTATGCAACAAATATGAATACTACTGCAACATGTATGTATTCTCTTTCCAAGCCTCTCTTATATTTGTCAGGATTCCTCACACATCCTTTTGTTATTGACAAAATAGGCTAGCTGTTTCCACTCGTTTCCAGTCTTTGTGCTAAGCTAAGTTAGCCCGATGCTAATTTAACTTGAAAGTGATATCTTTGTAACTTTCAACAAAGAAAATTAAACCGAAAATGTTCCCCCAAAATTTGTAATTTAATGATAATTTCATATTAAGCGTATTTGTGAAAACCTGTTTTTACTAACAATTTATAGCGATAATTCTTCTTAGATCAGACTTTTCACTTACTGGTGCAACATCCCGCTCGATCGTACCACACAGGTCAAAGGTCAATTGCTTGGTTATGGAAATATATGAAAATATGTGACCAATATGATGGGTGGATGATGTAGTAGAAATCCACCAGGAGGTAGAAAATCTTGCTTATTAAGCTTAAGAAAATATTTATTTTATTTAAGCACACTTTTCATGTTCCTTAGTTACTGTCTGTTATAACTGCTCTGCCTTTCTTTCTGCAAAATGACAGGAATGTGTTCTGTGATGAAAAAAAAGGGTATAATATTTCATTTATTTTTCCAAAATCTGTTCTCTTAAGTCGCCTTTAACTGCATTGATTGTGACAGGCTTTTGCTGTTTCTCCCTTTCGAGATATGCGCTTGTACAAAAAGCACACTGAGACTTTGTGTGAATGCTCCCTGGATGGTTGTGTTTGGAATTTGTATTCCCTCTGCAAAATAAAGACGGCGTGTCTTGATCAGTGTTATGTTATGTGTTTCTTTCCCTGGCCGTTCCTTTAGATCACAAACTTATTAAAATGCAGACTCATGGTCATTTTAAGGAAGCATACAGCAGGATAAAAGACATTTCATGCAACATAAAGTCACTCTGCTGGAGGTTGGGCATTAAACTTTTAGGTGATGCTCTCATTCAGAGTAAAAGGGGGGGGGGGTTAGTGTCTCTCGATAAAGGGCACTTTATTTTATCTGTGACGCAGTGATTTTAGTCAGTGTAACCATGAAGCATCTACTCGAAGTGCTCTGAATGTTAGTTATGCGCTTTAAGCAAGGGCTTATGAAGATTTAGAGAGATTAGCATTTGTTTTGTAAGAGTCTATTGAGAAAATGTACATGTATTAGTGCAAAATTTACTTTGATTAATTTAAAGAGGACCTATCATGCAAAATGCACTTTTTGATGTCTTTTATACATAAATATGTGTCCCCGGTGTGTCGGGGAACTCACGCAGCGTCAGAAAATAAAACCCTCTCTCTTTTCCTCCGTACCCAAATCTCTAAAAACGGGGGTACAACAGAGCTGATCCAGATTTGCGTCCGATATGACGTAATATCGGAAATGTGGACCCACGGCCCAATCAGAAAGTTGCTATCAGAAACAATGCCCGACTATTTTGGACGTAATATGGTCGGTGCATGTTTACATTAGCATCGCTAACACTCAGAGCTAACCTGTACTGGAGAGCATGTGTGTGAAGAAGCAGGAAATAAAAAGGAACTCACCTTGTGGTATAACCGGCAAGAGAGAAAGCCTTTGTGCTCCATACTGTTTCAGAAATAACTCTTGATAATCCATGATATGGCATTTCATCACGGCAGTATTTAGTTTAGACAGTAGCTGAGGGTCCCGCATGAGCTCAGCCCCCTCCTTTCTTTTTTTTAATACATTTTTTATTTTTTTAAAGCTTTATATGCCAAATCAGCACTTTTGAAACAGGAAGTGAAATAGAGGGATATGAGGCATGGCTAGAATGGGTGATCGGTTTGGTATTTTGAGCAAAACACTTCATAGACATGTTTTTTATATATTTGTATATATCTGAGACCTATGCTATTGCCTAAAAATAGCATGATAGGTGACCTTGAAGAGGTTTTAATCAATACAATCAGTAAAAGGAAAATGGCAGTATGTTAAAGGGACACTTTGGACGTTTTTAAATGTAATTGTATGAGGTATTTATTCATGGTCAGGGTATTACCTAGAGTAGAGGTCTGCACGCCCCAATTTAGAAAAAAAGAAACAGGTGATAGAAGAAGATAGAAGTAAAGAAATGCATACTTCTGTGGACAGTGGAAGTTTCAACATTATTTTAAAAACAACAATATTGGTTTAAGAGTATGCTATATTTAGAAAATGTTCACCACTTCACCTAACTTACAGATCTGAAGCTGTTATATCCACACTACAGGAGCTGTTGGTCTATCGCTGCTTTGATTGGTTCATTTGTTTGAGTTGCTGTGGGACTTCATGTTCTAAAGGATTTGGTTAGATGCACAACATAAACACATGAATTAAAGGTAGGGTAGGTAAGAATGGAGAAACCAGCTCGAGTGCGCTAGAATTTGAGTACGCAGCCGGAAAAAATCTGCCCCTTCCTTCAGACTTCCTTACAGAGCCCCTCCTCCAACACACACGAACGCGCACATGACCAATGAGGGCACGAGATAAGTTTGTGCACAGATGGAAGGCTGACAGGCAGGTAGGCCATCCAGTTATTTTAGCTGGGCCGGCTAAAATGATTGGTCGTACTTTTTACAGTACTACGGCTTCCACAGATGTATTTATTGCCAAAGCATTTAATGTATTCATTGCTATCGGGATGTTAAGAGCATTCCATGGAATATAACAAAAAGTGTTTCTGAAGTGAATTACCTACCCCACCTTTAACTGATGGCAGCAGCAATAAAAAAATCAACATATGATCTATTTACTTGTTTAGTCAATGCCATATGGTTGCTTGAAAGAGGGCATACAGCATTTGAGGGTCCTATAGAACATGATGCATTGCTGTTAATTAAACAACAACAACAACAACAACTATATGAAGGGTTTCAAATCAGCACACCCTTAAACATGTACAGCAGTCAAATGTGACATACACATTAATGCAGCAATAATATATCAAAAACATCAAATATGCAATAGTAAACCATTTAACATTATACACATTTATTTAATTTAGCTAAATACATACTGAGTAAGGTTTTGACCGCAGGACTTTTACTGTGGTATTACGATAAGAGATAAGAGATAAGATAGATTTTGTGTTGCAGCAGCATAAAAAGACATGGCATTGTATGATAAAAATTACAAGACATAAACAAGAAAGTAGAAAATATACATGTTGAATTTACAAATTAACAATAACAAGATATAAAGCAAGGTATTATATATACATAAGTATGTGACAGATGGAATATTAAATATTAAACTGAATATATAAATGTAAAATGTACAGTACTTATACTTCAGTAAAGGATGTGAAATATTCCTCCACCACATGTGGGTTGTGGGGTTTTCCCAGTGATGATAACACCAGGGAGAAAAACACCACTGGGACGAGGTCTCTGACCGCCGGCCGCCTCCACAGAGAGGCTCTCCGTGTGGGATTAGACGACCTTTCACCAGCATGGAGTCTCTCTCAGCTGCAGCTCACGTCCTCCATCACTCTGACGTACATGTGCATGGTGGTGGAGGAGGGATTTAGACCCTTTACTAAACAGTATGTAAGTATAATCCGGACAGCAGTGGCTTCTTATCAGATATGACTGTTACAGAATAATGATTTTTGTAGATTTTTATAGGGTTTTTATTTTATTTTTAAAACTGCATATGTTTAAATAATAATTTGTATTTCTTATGTTTATATAAATATTTGTTTGATTTATGTTTCATTATTAAATTAGCCACTGTCACACAAAACCCATTCCCCCCCGAGATAAATAAAGTATTATTCTGGTTATTCAAAGACGCAAAAACTGAAAACTAAAAAGTAAAGAAGACACACCTACTGAATCTCTGCCAGCTTGTGAGTGTTGTTGAACAGACATCTGAAATAGCTGTAGAAAGAAAAAATAATCAGAAATATTTTCATTACAGTGAAGTTTGCAAATGTCCTATCTCTATATGTTTGCCACCTGCACGAAACTTACAAATGTACTCTTTTTATTAAATATTTTTCATATATTCATTGTAATTTTCTATTGAAGATTATGCTTGTGACTTTTTCATCACTTTGCAATTATATTTGGTCTAACATGACTATTCAATTACAATAAAGGCATTGCATTGTAATTATTTAATTGTATTTACTCTAAAAGCAGAGTGCACGTTTTCTATGACTTTTGCATGTGCAATTTCTGCATGTGATTATTGCGTAGGCATGGTGTATGATATACACTATAGCACTATGAACTAAATGTAGGCAAAACCTACAGTAAACATTATTCTGGATGAGGAATCAGCATGACATGGGACATCTCTGTTTCACATGCATCCACCAGGGGGCGCCACATGCTCAGATCTGCAGGCAACAGCAGGGGGCGTAAGTGAGGAGTGAGATGATATGGCGGGCCAGTCGCGCGCGCCACAGGAGCGAGATGATATCGCCGAGGCACCAGTTCGCGCGCGCGCACACACACACACACACACACACACACACACAGAGATTGACAGCAGACAGCAGACAGTGGCGTGCTATCTCTCTGTGTGAGGCTGGAGTGGTTATATAATCAGTAACATGGAAGTGATAAACGCTGCGAACATTTCTCTGCGTCACGGCAACACCATTTAGGATGTGATGACCTACAGGCAGCAGAAGGGCATTACTAAAACCTCTACAGTGGGGGAATGTCGAAGATACTGGTAAATGTACATTTTATAAACACTGTTGTAGAATGTGAGTATTAATTAAAACATCTTAAAGTAATAACATTATTAGGCTTCATTTGCAACCAATAATAAGTACATTATCTTATTGGTCGGCTACTTACCAAGAACACTCTGCTGATGTCTCTAAAATCTCATCAGGACTAGGACAGAGCCGTATAATAGAATCATATCTATCTATATGGCGCTGCTGGACTAGGATAATGAGACCAAACAGAAAACACCTGTGCTCTGTCACAGTGAACAAGGGAAATGTAGTTTGTAGGCTATTCATTGTAGTTCCCAAGATCATGCCACAAGAGAAACCGCAGAAATAAAAACATATGACAAAAATGTGTGTGTTAGCTAACATGAGCCACCAGTTAGCTTAGCTTTATGCTTTAGCTTAATTTTTAGCTATAGCTTTGCCAAAGATAGCTTTCTGTAAGCTTAAGGCCTTCTTCGACAAATGACCTCCTGTAAATTCTATGTGTTTGGCGTTAAATTATATCAAATACCAAAATATTTTTGTAGCCATCATTGTTTACAGTGTCCACCAATTAGTGTTAATAATTCTTTTTTAATGGCCGTTGGTCCTAAAAGAAGAGATGTTTTATTCCATTTGCTTCATCTTTGATCCAATCATGCATAAATAAAATCAAAACACAGCTAATCAAACACAACATTTTATTTATATTTACATCCGCCATATGTCCAAACAAAACCTCTTCATGAGCAGGCAGCTGGGCTAAAGAGAGGAGGAAACAGGGGGATAAACATGCAGAGATAGAGAGAGAAATATGTGTTTACTGAGCGTTGAGTGTTATGTCAAGAGGAACATAACATCAACGGGCCGAGAAAAAAATGGATGAATCACAAGATGCATGAATCTCTGAGCAACGCAGGAATGTGGTGCAGAGCCTGAAGATGAATACTATAAATAATCTGAGTGTATGTCTGTTCTTTGTGTGTAAAAATAGTCACAGATGCAGAGTGCTGGGGGGTTAAAACAGAGATGAAGGGAGGACAGTGTATGGATGGTTATGTCACGCAGTATGCAGCATAGTCCCCGACACGGTCAGCTGTGCAGTGGTGCAGAAAC